TCAGGAACACTGAACTACTTTAAAATAATATAGTTCTGATTGCACAATCTCACAAATAATGCCAATAAAAAGAAAAGGCTTAGAGGTACCTTGAGAGAAACTCATTTTCAAAGGGGCTTTTACAAAAGATAGAAGGACAAAGAAAAATGCACCTGCATGAACAGCACCAGGAAGGGCAAACCCCAAACAAAAGGACAACAGAAAGACTATTTGTTAAAAGTCATGTTCTCAATAAGGTCAAAGAAAGAATTAGTCCGATTCCAAAAATGAGCTGATAGGTGCCAAGTACTTAGAGAAGCATTCCCAAACTTCTTGGTATAAGCAAACTTGAAGGAATCAAGTGATACGTTTAAAAACTAAAATCAAACCATCTCCTCTTCCTCCTCCAAAATGATAAAGGAAGTTAGATGGCTTTTATAACATTTAGTCTATTGAGTTTGGGGTCAACCCTATGAAGGCTTGTAGGAGGTTGGAAGACAAAGTAGGGATCCATGTCCATTAAGAGTGAGTTAGGTCTCACTTCTTGGCTTGGCTTGGCTGGGAATGCGCCTAGTAGAGGTAGGTCCGGTAAATCCTCACTTCAGCAAGGCATTGCAAAAAATGGTGCTTAGAATAGTCTTGTGGATAAGAGAGGAATGTAGGTTGAGTGTAAAAATAGGTATATTAGTACCCAAATGAGGCTACATATGTGTACAGGGAAGAGCAAAGGTAGGTTTCCAGTTGTTGGTATGGAAAATAATCAATAGTAAATAATAATGTAAGAATAAATGGTGTTTTGTGTACTCACAAGTAAACCTACTTTTGCCCCACCCTGTGTACTACGTTAGTACCTAAAGACTATTGAAATATTTTTCTGTAGAGGGTAACAGTAATCAGCCTTTGGCCCTTCTGCCTGTTGAGCATTTTCAGTCCATATTTTAGATGCTGATGTAGAAGGCCTTGAAGTTGTGATGACAGGAAGGAAGCCAAGAAAATCTACATGGATCAGTTGGCACGGGAATTCAAAATCACTTGATTTTCGTGATTCCTTAAAATTCATCTCTAGCAGTCTGGGGACTGCTGTTGTAAGTCCTTTTCACCTACCAGAGGCGTCAGCGGAATCGAGCCCATTCTTTTCTGGACCTTATTGAGAACATGATTTCTAACCAAAAGTCTTTCTGTTGTCCTCAGCATTGTCCTTTAGTGCTGTTCATGCAGGTGCACTTTTGTTTGTCCTTCTATCTTTTGTACAAGCCCCTTTGAAAATGAGTTTCTCTCAAGGTACCTCTCCAGTACCTGGAGCTATAGATACGTTGGCAGAAAAAGGGGTCAGAAGAACCTACAAAATGCAAAATCTCTGAAGGCGAGGCATGACACACATCAAGAGAGCGCCAGGCAGTTTGCGGGCAGAGGACATGCCTGTGGATTTGACCAGGAGGAAGGCACTAAGGAAGAGCCGGGCACCTGGGTTGGTGGAGACAGGAAATGAGGGATGAAAATCAGGTGCAGCAGTGTCCTCATTTGAGAGGTTTATTGACAGAGGGAACAAAAGAAGGGAGAAGGCAGTGAAGTTCTTGAAACATGTAAGAGAGAGAAGCAGGCCTAAGGACTAGAAGAATCTAGGAGTGAAGGCTGCCCAGTAACATGCATGTGCCAGGGCATGTGTAGCTGTTGGGCTTTTGTTATCAGTAATCAATGTCACATGGGCTTTAACTGTACCCCAGACCCTGTGCCTCAGATATTGACATGCAACGATGGCCCCCAGTTCGGCACAAGGAGCTGCTCGGTGTTTGTTCAAACTGCAAGGCAGACCCAGGGATGGGAGAGGCCTCCGGGAAAATGCTATGTCTCTTGGTTCCTGTGAAGAGAGCGGGTGGTCACAGACAGTGCCCGCCGGGTGCCACTTGCCGCTCACCTCTATGCCCTTCCTCCCTCTGTGCGGCTCCCTCCAGGAGTTTGGTGTCTGGGCACTGACTGACCCTGAGTGCTTCTCTCCTTTCTCTTCCTTCCCACAGTCTGTTCTGAATGTGATCAGTGAGCTGCAGGAGCAGATGTGTAGGCTGCAGCTGGACATCCACAGGCAGATTCAAGAGCGCCTCTTGCTCAGTAGGGACCACCCTGAGGAGGTGGCGGCCGGCGACGGTGTGGCCGGGCCCCAGGCCGGCAGCCAGGACTGTGCCTGTTGGGAGGGGTCACCTGTAGGAACCACACTTAAGTATATCAGAGCATGCGTGTGTGGGGTGTTTCACTGGTGGAGGGGGGAGGGGGGGGGGGGGGCTCCTAACCAGAACAGAGTGCAGTGGCTTAACAGGGATCTGTTGTTACCTCTGGGCAGAGCCGGGGACTCACACACTCCCTCGGGACGGGAGCTGGGCTCTGTGGCCCTCCCTGAGCGGGGTCTGAGCAGGTGAGGCACGTGGTGACACTCACCTCCTGCAGGGCTCAGAATGAGTCCTGGGGTGTTTGTGCAAAAGGAAGCCTCCGGATTGCCAGTCCCAGGAACAATTCAGACATTGATTCCTGCTCTGGGAAGTGCAATAAATGTCATTCCATCTCCCATGATTTTTTTTTTTTTTTTATTTAAGAAAAGCATTATGAAAGAATTCTTTCAAGTTTATTTTTAAAGAGATTTATCCCCAGTTAGGAAATGGAACACAAGTTTCTATTTGCTGTGATAGTTAAGTCATTCTCTGACTTTCCGGGAAAAGTTCCCTTTTTAGAGGGATTTCATGATCCCTGGGCCCTGTGGGGTGTCTCTGACTGGGATTCTGGACTTGGCCCCTCACACTAAGGTGACTGGGCTGAGGTAGCTGTGTACCCCCACGGTCCATGGACTTGGAAGCCCAGGGAAAGTCAAGGTCACAGTAGCCTGAGCAATGCAGAAGGCCTGCCTTATCTCTGTAGGAAGTTCCCGTGGTCCATACGTTGAAAATCTCTACCCCGACTCAGGCATCAGGGTAGAGATTTGCTCCTACATTAAAGGATACGGGGGAAATGAGAGACAAGATGTAAGTGTAGATTTAGATGGAGAAGCCCTGAGAGGATGCCTCATGTTGAGGGGTTACCCCAAAAGGACTTTTAAAGGAAGTTAAAATTTGCTTCGGTGTTTATAGCTGATGATGGACAACTGGTAGCTTAAAAGGAGGAGAATGTGCTAAAGAGGTAACCAGAGCCAGGAGATCACCATGCCCTGTGTCCCCATAGTGGCAGCCGCTCAGGCAGTCACCCACACACTTCAGGTTCTGCAGGCCTGGAGCTCCCGTGGGCAGGGCTGGAAATGTTCTCAGAAAAGGATCCTGTATCGGCTGCAGGTCACAACAGGCCTAGAAATCTATTGCTGCAGGTCATGGATGCAATAACCTCAGCATGGGAGACTTTTTTTTTTTTTTTTAAGGACATCAATAAATGCTCCTTTAGCCATAAATTTTTTTTAAATAAATTTCCCTACAAAGCTCAAGTGTAAGCAATGCCGCTTTCTGCTAGATCGTCTCCAAATGCAAAGAGCTCCAGGTCAGTTAGACAATGACCTTAAATTTGTAACTTCAGTAAGAAATAATGCATACATACTATGCGCCAGAAGTTAGCAAAACATCTCATGGAGTTCATTGTAGGAGAACTAGCCATTGGCATTCCCACTGGTAAATGTTTAATTGCACATGATGAGGGTGATAGGCAGGATGCCGCAAAAATATAGCGAGGGCAGAAGTTGGGATGGCTTCGCTCAGGGAGGCCAGAAGGATGGGCAGGAATGAACCTGGCCGACAGTGCCAGGCAGAGGGAAGACCATGCATGAAGCCCCAAGGCAGAAAGAGGAACTAATAATACGTTTTCAGGGCGTATCCAGAGCACAGGGTAATATGAGAGGCAGGCAGCGTGCCGGCTCGGGCCAGGCTGTGTGGGTCATGGGTTAAAGTTGATGAACTTTGAGGAGCAGGTTGTGCCAGGATCAGATTTGTGTCTAAATGGTGTTGTGCCCTTGGATGCTAGAGGGTCACAGTTTGTTAGATGAGTCTGCAGGTCAGAAAGTCTATGGAAGGGATCCCTTTTATACTAATTTTTCCTGATAGGAACCAGTCAGCAGGGCCAACTGTCCCTTACAGCAGCAATTGCCAACTGGTGGTCTGTGAGGTCTGAAAGGTTGGCAACCGCTGCCTTAAAGGAACCTGGGTTTGGGACAAAGGTGCTTAGTGATGTCATCTTTGCTGAACGGGTGGTTTAGAGAGCAGGGGCCCTGGGGCCAGAAGATGTGGGCTTGGATTGCAGCTCCACCACGGGCAAGTTGTTGCAATATCACTCCCATCGCCCAGTAACCTTCAGTGACTCCCTACTATCCAAACAATGGCATCAGCACTCCTGAGAGTCTCATCCAAAACCATCCCAGCCTCCTCTCCCATCCTTTCCCTGGATGCCTTCTCCCTCCCTCCTTTCTTCAACCCCCTTCTGCGAACTGGAACAGGAGACTGGCCTCTGCATTAGGCACTTAGCGTTTGTTTCCTCTGTGTTTGATGTCTGTCCTGCTGGCTGTCCCTTCCTCTGTGCAGCCTCTCAGGATCACTGACCCCTCCCCTGGGTTCCTCCACCCTCACTCTGCACAGAAAGATGCTCCCAATTAGCCTGCTTCCTGCTTCTTTGTCTGTAAGAAGCTTCCTCATTTCCATATCTCCGTTCCTCTTGTTCCCAAGCCCCCACCTGCCCTGCCTCCCACACACTGTGCTTCATGTGGGCACATCCCGCATAAGTGGGGGTGGGGGGAGTTTTGGGGCCAGACAGAACAGGTTCTAAAAATAAGCAGCGAGTTTTCTCTTTCTTCTGTCAAGAATTCCCTGGCCTTTGTTTTTAAAGGGCCACACAGCTGTTCCTGAAACAGCACACGTTGAAGGATTTGAGCCTCAGTGTGGAGCATGATGTGGTTGGCCTTTCCCGACATCCTCTGTGCACGAGCTTAACTGGGTTTGTAGATCAGGGAACAGCATCCTGCTGGGTAACCATCAGACCTTTGTCTTTCTCCCTCTTCTCCCTAGGAGTTACTGCAAGAGCTCAGGCGCCTTAAAATCAAAGTGGAAGAGTTGGAAAATGAACGGAACCAGTATGAGTGGAAGCTGAAGGCCACAAAGGTAAAAGGCGGTTCTGATGCTTAGGGGAGACACCGAGCCCAGTGGGGGGTTTCTGTGTTCAAACTCTGGGTTTACAGGACCCCATGCTTGAAAAATGCAAATTGACCCTACGGTGTGCACACGTAGCAGTGGCCAGCAGCAGAGAGAGGACCTTCTCATGGGGGAAATCCCGTGAGATTATGAGCTGCTGAAGCAACTGAGTCTCCTTCCTGTTGCTGTATCTGGTAGCACCATCAGCTGACATTGGGCCAAGAAAGGGCTAGTGAGTAAGTGAGTGAATGGTGAGTCCTGAGGCAGATGAACACCAATCTTATGTTGGCTGCATCATTTTAAGTTTTGCCAGTCCCTCTAATAATCAGTTTTTTAAAACAGCATGCTTTATTTTCAGCAATGAATGTAGCCCTAACCGGTTTATCTCAGTGGATAAAGCGTCAACCTGCAGACTCAAGGGTCCCAGGTTCAATTCCTGTCAAGGGCCTTGGTTGTAGGCACATCCCCAGTGGGGAGTGTTCAGGAGGCAGCTGATGTTTCTCTCTCATTGATGTTTCTAGCTCTCTATCCCTCTCCCTTCCTCTCTGTAAAAAAATCAATAAAATATATTTAAAAAATTAAAAATGATGTATACTTGTAATATTTATTGTTATTATTTTAAAATGTGTTTTTATTGATTTCAGAGAGGAAAGGAGAGGGAGATAGAAACATTAATGATGAGAGAGAATCATTGATCTGCTGCCTCCTGCATGCCCTCTACTGGGGATTAAGCCTGCAACCTGGGCATGTACCTTGACTGGGAATTGAGCCATGACCTCCTGGTTCATAGGTAGACACTCAACTACTGAGCCACACCAGCCAGGCTTGACTATTTTAAAAAAACCAAATCAGGTTTCTATTGAATTGCAGAGCTTGCTATTTAGAAGACACTAAAGATAATTTTGTGTGTGTGTGTGTGTGTGTGTGTGTGTGTGTGTGTGAAATAACTTTTTCCTCTCCCTCCTTCATTTATTCCTTAGTTGAGACGCAGATTAAAATGAGTGGGTTGGAGTCAGCCCACACATTTGCGGGGGTGGGTAGGCAGTTGACCATTGTATTTAAAGATGTCAAATTCATTGTCACTTAAAACATTAAGAAATTGCACTCTAAAATAGTTAGGCTGCCTTTGGAAGGGTTGGGGTGGAGTGTGGGGAAGGAAGCTCTCACAACCCTGGAACAGCTTTCCTGCTTGAAGCAGCCTGGGCTGGGCTGCCTCTAAGTGGTGTGCACACCTGCCATTTCCCTACAGGTGTTGGTGCATGATCCCTGCAGGCATTTTCATTTTTACTACTTACTTGAATTTTCTTAAAGTCTAGTTAGTTCTTTGTTTTATTTTTTTCTGTAAGTTAACTTTTAATAATATTAAAAACAATAATACTCATTACAGAGAATTTTTAAACCAGAAAAAAAAATGAAGAAATACAAAAAAAATAAATAAATAAATAAATAAAATTCTCCTATGCCACCCTGGAGTTACCACTGTTAATATTTCCTCTAGGCATTTCTCTGGGTGTCTCTCTCTCTCTCACTCTCTCAATTTCTGGTGTTGATGATTTATATACAATTTTCTATCATGCTATTAAAAGAAAACTCTGGATACAATGCTGAGGTTAGTAATCTATATAATATTCTATGGTGTGAGTATAATATGAGTATAAAATAATTTGCTTAACCATTTTACTGATGAGAACACTGAGGCATGGAGGGGTTAATTAACTTTCCTGAGATCTCACAGTTCGTCAGTACCAACCCTGGGCAATTCAGATCCACTTAGCTACTGCTCTGTTTTTATCTCCTCGAACCCTGTGAGCACCACGCTTCACACTCACTGGCGGCCGGACCTCTGTTTTCTGAAGAGCTCAGAATCTTCCACCACAGTGCTCCCCACGAGCCCTGTCCTGGTGAAAGCTTTGAAATTGTACGTGCCACCTTCTCTTCTGAAACCAAACAACTTTTTTTTTTTTTTTTTTTTTTTTACATTTTCCAAGCATGTAGACTTTGAGATTCCAAAAGTTATTTAATAACTACCAGGTGTGGAGCCCCTCCTACGTGCCAGAATGTACCAAGCCCTTTTTCTCATTGGATCCATGAAATAACCTGGTGGGGTCCATTGATTTATTATCCTTATTTTACTGATAAAGAACCTGAGCCTCAGGTTGCCACGGTGAAGTTCGGACCTGGATCTGTCATTTCAAAACTCATGCTCCCTTCCCTATACCATCCTGATTCTTTGCAGTAAAAGCCTTCACTGGTTTTGAAAGTTCCTTGGTTTTCTGTGTAAAGCTCCGGTCCCAAAAGGCGGATTGTCTTCCAGTTCAGCTGAATGGGATGTGGTCGGGTTCAATGAGGACCCGCCCTTGCTGGGATCAGCGCCTGTGTCTTCCTGATTGGGTGGCTGTGCAGTAGCATACTTGGTCCTCCTGGCCAAGTGGAGCCTCTGGGCTATTGTGGACTCCCCAGCTGTAGGGATAGGTACCACTCAAAGGATATCAGAGCACCTGCCATTTCTGGCCTATTGTGTGGAAATTGGCACATGGGAGTTTGGGAGCAGCCACTTAGTTTGTAAGGACTTAAATAGATGACCTCACCCAGAGGAGAGACTTCCGTGTGGCCCGGGTTTGCCTCAGCAGGTCCACACCATTGATGTCTACTGTGAGGCCCTCAGACAAGCATTAGGCATCCAGATTCCTAACAGGGACCAGCTCTCTCCCTGTCTGCAAAGAAAGGGAGCAATGGCATGGAGAGGTACAAGAGAGGCTTCGAGAATATTTTCCAAGAAAAGTCCAACTCATGGAAAAATGTGAGGCATTTGGATTGAGAATCTCAAGGACAAGCTTTTCAGAAGCCGCTGTCACAGTCCATCATCAGCCCTGGGGCCCTGAGGCCCTGAGGGAGCTATGGAAGCGGCTGCCTGGCTGCGAGTCTCAGAAGGCGCTGTGTGGCACAGGGGGCTCAGCTCTCCAGCCTCTGGGTGGAAACCAGAGCACAGGATGGTGCTCCCGAAAACTTTGCAGTAAGTGAACCCCATCCCGTGCCACCTGGTTTCCTTATATGGTTATCTCTGTGCTACGGAAGGTAGTAGGGGAGGTTTATTCTGAAATAAACCTCGAGGTGGTCTCAGAAAGCTCTAGCTGTCAGAGAGTGGATCTCATTGTCCTGCTATCTTAGAAGCAGACCAGCTGTTTGTTTTCATAAGAGAAGGTGGCATGTACAACTTCAAAGGTTTCACCAACACAGGGCTCATGGGGAGCACTGTGGTGGAAGATTCTGAGCTACTTGAGAGAACAGAGCTCCTGCCGCCAGTGAGTGTGAAGCGTGGAGCTCACAGGGTTCGAGGAGATAAAAACAGAGCAGTAGCTAAATGGATCTAGATTGCCTAGGGTTGGTACTGACGAACTGTGAGATCTCAGGAAAGTTAACTAACCCCTCCATGGATAAGTGTGTAAATGCCCGTGTGAGTAGGTGTGCTAATGGCTTTGGAGCAGGCGGGGATTACGTCCCTGGCCTGGTCACTAACTGGCTCTGTGAGTTGACCATTGGATCCTGCACGACTCCTGTTGTCTCTCCAGAGACATGCAGGGACATTGCTTCCTCCTGTTGTTTCCTGTGGAGCTAAAGAAGGTTTGATGTAAGAAAGTGGCTAGCGCAGGGATCCACTCTGCATGTCCTGGGTCCTGAGGGGTCCACTCTGCAGGCCTGTGTGGCAGAGGCCGCCAACAGGAGCAGTGCTTACGTGGCTACTTGGAGTTGTTCAGAGATTAATGTGGGCCTCCGTAGGAACAGACAGCACATTCCATAACCTTGAGGAACGAAGGCAGGTGTGACTGGATTCCCACATTGGGGGGTGGGGAGGGTGCAGCCAGAGTAGAAACCTTTGCTGTGTGGTTCATTGCCTGGCTCAGGGGTCAGTTTGCAACCCCTTAGTTAATCTGGTTTGATGCTCAAAGAACTAGCTAGTCATTCATAAGGAAGGAATAGAATGAGAGCAGCAACACCAGCATTTATTGAGCACCTACTATCTACTAGGCATGAGGCTAAATTGTTCTTAACCTTTATCTTATTTAATCCTCTTTAGAGCCTCAAGAGGTAAATGTCATTTCCCTAATTTTAAAGCTGAGCTAAGACTCAGAAAGATTAACTTACTTGCTCAAGGTCACCCAATAGGAAGTGAGAGGATCTAAGTTTGTTTGACTCCAAAGCCAATATGCCTCCTGAGGTGGGACCTATACATTTGTAATCTTCAAACAAGGATGGAAAAGCATGGACCCAACCACATCTCCTGTTAGGTGTGAAGTGTAACCTGCTATGTATAGAGACATGAGAACCAACCAGTGCAGCTGCCCATGTGTGTACATATATGAGTGTATGTGGTTGTACTTACCTATTTTATTTGCAAAAGTATATCTGCTCGGCACACCTGAATTCTTGTATGTATGTATGTGTGCGTGATCATGCACAGGTGCCTAGAGGTTGGGCAGGCAGTGGCTGTGCACAAAGGGTGGGTGAATGCTTGAAAAAGGAAACTCTTGGCTCACCCTTTGTCTACCAATAGTGATTTTATTTCCTAGATGGGGAAAAAAAAATGAAAATGCATGCACTTGTAACAGTGGTGTACATACATGCTGTTGCATTGAGTATCTTGGGAGAAGGAAGACCATATCCAGAAAGAAAATAAACATTTCTAGACCAAGGGCAGTCCTCCCATTGCACACAGTCCCAGCTCAGTGGTGTTTGGACAGCAGAGGGCAGGGGAGGGAAAGAACCTGGTCAGGTAGGAGGATGCTAGTAGGTGGACAGCCAGAGACAAGCAGGGCCAAAATGACCAAAAGAATGAGTTTATTGGTCAGAGCTCCACCTTGTGGAAAGGTCTGTGAGCACCTCTAATTGCTCACCTCTGGCACCTCTGCTCCTAATTTCCTAAGCTTTCCCGGACTCTGACCTGAGGCACTTCTTTACGGTTTGGTAGTCTCTCTGAACTGTTAGGGGTCCTCTGTTCTCTTCCAGGCTGAGGTGGCCCAGCTGCAGGAGCAGGTGGCCCTGAAGGATGCAGAAATTGAGCGTCTACACAGCCAGCTCTCCCGGACTGCAGCGCTCCACAGTGATCATGCAGAGAAAGGTAACTGGTTGACTGTGACAGTGCAGTTGCCCCTGGGTCCTGTGCTCCTGAGCATGTATGTCTATGGATGGGTATGTAAATGTCTGTGTGAGTAGGTGTGCTGATGTGCATGTAGGTGCAAGTATGTGTACAAACATATCCAACTGAAGGGATGCATGTGTGTGTCTGCATGACTGAGCCTATAAACCCAGCTCTATCATGGAATCATTGCCATGAACCTCTCCCTTGCCCAGAAGATTCAGCCCTGAAGGCTTTCTTCACATGCATTCTGACCATTAAAGCTCTGGGTAGCCACCTCTGGAGCTTTAGACATTCACTTGATTGAAAGGACTTGTTTTTGTGTCTCAACAAAGGGGAAGTTTTAGCAGTTCATTTAGTCATTTAATGGATTCCTATCTGGTACTTCTTGAAAGCCCCAAGTTTACAGAAACAAATTAGTTATTGTCCATCATTTAGATCTCAACTGAAATGTTACATCTCAGAAGATCTTTCCTGCCCTGGCTAGTTTTTGCTCAATGGTTATAGCGTCAGCTCAAGGACCAAAGGGTCACAGTTTCATTTCCGTCAAGGCATGGTCCTAAGTTGCAGGTTCCCCAGCCACGGTGGACATCCATGCAGGAAGCAACCAATTGATGTGTCTTTCTCACATTGATGTTTCTCTCCTCCCTCCCCTCCAGTTTCTCTAGAAAGCAATAGAAACCTTTCCTGGCCACCCTATCTCAAATAGATGCCCCCAATCTTATTTTTCTCTAAGTCAGTATTCTTTTTCCCCCCCATAGCATTTATTATAACTTGTCAGTGTTGTAGTTCTCATTTTGGGGTTTTCTTTGTATAGTCTGTTGTCCTCTCTCTGGGGCAGAGACTGTATCTAAGTTTTCGTAAGACATTTCCACATACCACCGTATTTAGCCAATGGTAGGCTTCTAAGTAATATTTATTGTATAAATGAAAGGATGATGAATGGTCCCCGAGGAGTTCAAGTCTTGGTGGTAAATCCTCTTAGCACATACTTAGTATTTATGGCGATTTGCCTTGTATATAAAATGCTCAACATCTTCCAACTTTTTCTCTTAGCTCAGGCCGAAGAGTAATGCTGGGGGAGATCATGTAGCTGGGTAGATTGATCCTGTTACCTAGTCTCATTTTGGTCTCAGCTTTGCTCAGATCCCTGCTGGGGTGGTGAAGCCATGTGGCCATGAAACAGTAGCTTAGGCTAGAGAAAATTAGTCCCCAACATGCTAATAATCCCTTCCCCAGCCTTTCTTTTCCCAAGCCATTAAGTGTATGTGTCACCTACCCATCAAGCCTAATGTAGAGGCTGGATCTGCCTAAGATAACTTAGATGACCTGTGATGTTAAACCAAGACAGAAAGCTCCCTGATCCATGACTTCTAGACCAGGCAACCTTTCCCCTAGGCCAGTGGTCGGCAAACTCATTAGTCAACAGAGCCAAATATCAACAGTACAACGATTGAAATTTCTTTTGAGAGCCAATTTTTTAAAACTTAAACTATATAGGTAGGTACATTGTTATTAACTTAATTAGGGCACTCCTAAGCTGGCCTTTGCTAAAAACTCAAGGGGCCAAAGAGCCGCATATGGCTTGCAAACCACAGTTTGCCGACCACAGCCCTAGGCCCCACATTACTCCACAGTCTATGCCTTCCAAGCCCTGCCCATTCTATTATCAGTCACCTCCTGGAGTTGGTCCTTTGGTCACTTGCTCCCCAGAGCATCAAGGTTTGCCAGTCTTCATGTGGAGCTCACTGCTCTCTCCACATGTCAGGCTGCAGAGCTGATCTTCAGCTGGCAAGAGCCTAAGATAAAAGGCAAGCACTCTACCCTTTGCTCTGAAAATAGATCCCTACAGCTATTTATACAAAGTCCATAAATCTTCTCTTCCTGTTCTTATTGGATATAACAAGCATCCTAAAAGCAAACGGGGTGCCTATACTGTTGTTCCCTGGTCGCCTTGCCTTGCCTTGCCTTGCCTTGCCTTGCCTTGCCTTCCCTTCCCTTCCCTTCCCTTCCCTTCCCTTCCCTTCCCTTCCCTTCCCTTCCCTTCCCTTCCCTTCCCTTCCTTTCCCTTCCCTTCCCTGTACTTTTCTTATATAGACACCCCTATTCTCTTTGCAGTACCCTATATCAGATGTATCCTTGTTTGGAAAAATCTAATTATGTGCCACTTCCTAGACCTCCAAATATTTGGCAGAATTGCCTCTAGCTCCTTCAGGCACTGGCATTTGACCTGGCTCTCTAGACCAGTCTGGGATGAAGTCAAGAAAGGCCCTGTTGGCTCCAAAGTGAGAGAAGGCCATGAATTGTCCACCACAGACTGAAGTAGACCCCTCAGCCCATAGGGAAGTTCTATAGGTGTATGATGAAAAAGGATTGTTTTAATATATACAAAGATTTATCTAAACATTTGTTAGTCAATTCTGACTATACCATTTTAAACTAAGCCAAGTAATCAACTCTTTTACATGGTCTTTCTTTTCCAATCTCCATTCAACTATAGACATTTCCCCCCTTATTTTAAATTCTCTGCTACAAACTATGGGGCTGCAGTCCAGGCACATGCCTCATAATGGATAAATGTCTATATTCTTGTAGGATGATGGTTGTGAGAGATTTTTCTCTGTATCATCTTTGAGTAAATGGCATTTTGTTTTCCCCCCACACATGTCTATAAAGAGAAGACAAAATGATAGGTCTGTTCATTTATTAGTCTAACAAATATTTAATGAGACTGAAGTGTATGCCAGACACCATTATGGGCTCTTTAAAAAATTAAAGAAGCCTGTGGGCAGTTTATTCACATGTTTTCACTTGAGAAGCATCTTAGCATGTGGAGATAGCTGCCTGCATTTACATAAATAATTCTTTCCACATCTAAATTCTCCTTTAGACCAAGAAATTCAACGACTGAAAATTGGGATGGAAACTTTGCTTATTGCCAATGAAGACAAGGTAAGATGGTCATTGGGCAACCCTGTCTTTTCCCTGCTGACATCCCTGGCTCTGTTGGCCTCTCTGGTCTCTGATATTTTGGGCATGGCCATGCCCACCGGGTCATTGATTCAGGGATGTGTTGGAAGAATGGCTGTGCTTCCTGGAGACTAGACCTCAGCCACCTGTTTTAGCTTTGATGTCTGAAAACTTTGCCTAAATGGACTCTCTCAAAGGCAGATTGAAGCTAAGCCTATTCATGCTAGTGTGGAGAAAAAATACCTCTGTGGTTACTGCCAATATCATAGCTGTTGCTTAGACGCCAAGCTACACTCCAGATCAATCTATCCACCTCCCACATTCATGATCCAGCAATGGACTCGACACAGACACTAGGCAGCATGCAGTGCTGTTTGCCCTGCTGTCTTATATTCTTCACGTGCAATTCCCACATAATCACAAATTAAACACCTCTGTAACCTGGCACAGACATCAGCTTGGAGGATCACACCCCTGTATTTTACAGATGAGGACTCAAAGTACTTTAGTTTTTTCCAAGGTCAGGTAACAGTAGGTGGTAGGGCTAGAGTTTATGCCCAAGTTCGTGTGGCCTCCCAAGTCCCTAGGCCTTTGCTGAAAGAAACAATCTCCTGGGGATGTCCTCTGTTGTGTAAGGAACCTCAGACTCCCAAGAAACAGGCAAGGACATTGGGATAAATATAAAGTCTTATTTTAATCGTGTGTATGTGAGGGGGGCGGGGGGTGGGTATGCGGGGAATATCTCCAGGGAACAACACTTGGGCCAGGAGGCAGATTTGAATGGTTACCTTAGGAGAGCAGGGGGAGGTAGGGAGAGGGAGAGGACAGAGAATTTCCTGCTTCTGGAACTGTTTCAGCCCCTCAAAGGCTGTGCCAAGAAGGGGCTGTCTTATAGCTGGAGATTGGACTCAGCCTTCAGGGAGAGGCAATAGTGACTGCAAGCCGTCTGGGAGGCAGACCACAGAAAACCTGGCTCTGGGAAGGGGCCTGGACACCGTGTTGGATGCTTCTCAGGTTCCCCATGACACCTCCTCTCGGTGGGCACAGAACCTAGCCTGGGCCCGGAAGGGTGCTCCTGTGGTACCAGTGCTGCTGCTTACGTGTCTGCCCTCGCACTGCTGCAGGACCGCCGGATGGAGGAGCTCGCGGGGCTGTTAAACCAGTACCGAAGGGTGAAGGAGATCATGCTGGCAACGCAAGGTAAGAGCCCTATTTTCTCCCAAAGGTATTCCAGCTATAGGCTTAAATCCAGGGGCAGTCCCACCAGAAGATTCTTCATCTTCATTTGAGGACAGCCTTCTGCTGGAGAACAGAACCGGTTACACTGTCCTGAATTGTAGGAAATGGGCAGGTGTTAAGATTTCCAGAAATTTTGTCAAATGGTACTCAGTTCAGAACTTTTGGGTATTGTCCAGATCACCAAGAAAATGCAGCCTTCAAATTGAGCCCCTGCGAATCCCACCCTGGCAGGATGTCCCCTGCATCTCCCCAGGTTTCTCCTGGGAGAGTCAATGAGTGGAGGGCAACCTGGATCAGAAATTTCAATGCACTCATTGGGGATGAGAGCTTGTCCACCTCCTGGAGAATGTGAAACTCTCCCAGAGGACACCCAGGGCTTGGTTCCTAGGAAGTCACAGGGTAGAGAGAGCTCTTTGCATTTCTTATTTGCTGCCCAGACTGAATGCAACATGCAGGCAGCATTTGTGTTCTTATGGGCACAGTGGGGCAATTGCCAGGCTGCCCACTTTGTTCCCACCATTGACCTGGGCTCCCATCACAGATCCCAAGGAAGCAGCTGTTTCATAGGAGAAGGCTGCTTGCAGGATATTCAAGAGTCTCTGATTCTGGCTGAGTTGCTGCTTCATCTTAGAAACAAACCGGATTGTGGCTGACTGGTTACCACCTTGCCTACTCTCTTCACCCCATCCCCACATATATGTCACTGCTGTTTTCATTTTCTGTAAAAAAACAAAAAAAACAAAACAAACAAACAAAACCCTTGGAGGCCTTGGATCAAGTCACTCTCAGAATCTGATTGCCTGGGCCAAGGAGTGAGAAGGTTGGAGAGGGATACTGCAGGGTGCCTTCTCTCTGTTGCCCACATGAGCTTTGACCTTGAGATGACCCTTTTGTCAGCCCATGCTCAGATGCTATGAAGAATCTTCCAAATCATGCTCTTAATGCTCCACTGTAATATTTCTTAGTCTTTCTTGGTGAAGGAAAAAAATGTTAGAATTGTGTGGTGCAGTTATAATTTCTGAGCAAAGGACAGTATGTGATCATCTTTTCTGCATTAATGCTTCCAGGGCCGTCAGAAAGAAATCTCTCAATCAATGAAGAAGAGCTGGAGGGAAGTTTCAGAAAGTGGAACACTACAAATAAAGGCCCCGAAGAGGTGCTGTTTCCATCTGGAATGTAGGGTTTTAGCAGTTCCCAAGGGCTTACCCTGAGCACAGGGGAGGATCTAGGCAGGCACCTGTCAGGCATAAATGTTGACAGGTGAAAATTGAAATCATTGGAGCCCCTGAGGCCTTGGGGAGAGCCCCGAGGGCCGCCAGGCGCTCAGGCACAGGCCGGTGTTTGCTTGGGAGGCACAGCATAGTGGATACTGGACATTCAAGAGTAGGATTTTTTTTTTTTTTTAAATTTAGTTCCTTGTCTTTTTGTATTTCCTTTCTGGAGTGTAAGCATAGACCAGAAGTATTGTTGCTTTTACTTACCTGTCTGTTTCTCCACAGTCTGCAACAATGCCTGGTACCCAGTAAAATTCAACAGAATTTGTTGAATGAATGGATGTGTCTTGCTCATTTAGAGGGGCAGCTGCCAGTTTTGAAGTCCTACATCCCTACTTCACAGACGTCCCCTGGAGACCCAAAACCCAGCAAAGAGATGTTCTTTCTCCTCTTTTCCTTGTTTAAAACCTGCCCCTATTATATGAATCTCTGTGGACTTAGGATCAACACAAATAAGCACATAGGTAGAGAAAGGCCTTCAAACTAGGATCTAAAAAGCTTAAGAAACTCCAGAACAGCCGTACTGAAAAGGATCTTAGCAGTCCAGCTCAACCCTTTTAATGAAGGAAAGTGTAAAGTGTCACCCAGTGACCCAGTTACCTAGTCAAAGCAAGCGTGCCGGACTGCTGGCCGTAAGAAACAGCAGTAACTGATAGTGCTCAGCACCTCTGAGTGTCACTGTGATGTGCACTGTGTGTGGCTTGTCTCATCTACTCCACAGCAAGGAGATGGCAGAACCTTGACGTAAAGCCAGGTTTATCTGACCAAAAAGCCCAGGCTTTACGAACTGTGCTATACTATCAGGGCCCTTCCTGCAGTAGACCAAAAAGACACTGAGCTCTAGAGAAAGGAGGTGGTCTTTGCAGACAGTCTGTCCTTATATACCATTAGCTCATGCCCCTGCCACCTGTGACGCTCTTTCCTTTCTTGGTGAGCCCACACTCAGTTCTTTTTTTTTTTAATAGATACTTTAAAATATATTTTTTTATTGATTTTTTTTTATAGAGAGGAAGAGAGAGAGGGATAGAAAGTTAGAAACATTGATCATCTGCCTTGTGAACACTCCCTATTGGGGATGTTCCCACAAACAAGGTACATGTCCTTGATCAGAATCGAACTTGGGACCCCTCAGTCCGCAGGCCGACGCTCTATCCACGGAGCCAAACCGGTTTCGGCCACACTCAGTTCTTAAGATTCAACTCGAGTTGTCTTCCCTCCAAAGCCTTCCTAACCTTCCTATGGTGAGAGGGAGGGGCTAACCTCACGTTATGCTGTAGGAATTGGTGCCACAAGGACATGTTTCATTGATCTTTCATCCTAATTAACTTGTCTGCCACCCTGATGCGAGGAGTGCTGGCCTTATGATGAGCACAGGGCTTGGCAGACAGTAGATGTTGCTCATGTTTGTTGAGTGACTCTATCGATATAAGCGTTGCTCATTGCAAACAACAGAAATCTGCTGTGACTAACCTTGGCCTAAAAGGCATGTTCTTAAAAGAGCGCATGAATGAAAGGAAAAGCTGAAGGACCAAGCTCTGAAAGAGGGCAGCAAGAGCCTTTGGGATTCAGGTCTCAGGACTCTCTTGTTGGGACTCTGCTCCCAGGATGTGAACTTTGGCCCAGGAAGGAGAGGCAGGTTGGCCTGGGTTGTTTCTTACACCCACCTCCTTGGTATCTTGAAATAGCAAAGCACCAGAATTGATGGAGCTACCATGGCTTGTACCCAAGGGAAGAACTGTAACTCCCCAAGAGAAATCATCAAAGAAGGGCAAAGGGTGGTTTCCAAATAGCAACTGTCCTCTGTGATGACTTGTCTCTTTCTGGTGCAGATGCCTCCAAGATGTAGCTCTCCTGGAGTGGGGCCACCTCCACTTCCACAGAAATCACTGGAAACCAGGTAGGAGGCTCAAGCTTTGACCTCAGGCCCCCCTCGGGGCGCCTGACATGGCGGGGACTGGCCATGCATTGTGAGCATGACCACTGTGTCCTGGGAATACCTGCCCTTTCACCATCAGGACGGCAATCCAGGCCCTTGCAGTGGCCATAACGGGACCAATGGAGAATCACAAACCATACCTATCAGCCCTGGCCGTAGAGGGGCTTCCCTTCCTTCAGGCTGAGGGTCTGAGTCACTGTCATGGAGAAAAGACCTGGCCAGGGCTTAGACACTCAGAGGAGAGGTGGCTGCACCTCATCTGGGCCCTCCAATGGCTCACCAGAGCCGAGAGCATTCCATGATCTGTGCCTGTCAGTTTTGTCAGGCCCTCTGGAATGTCTTTCCGTGATTCTAACTCTATGACAAGCCATGCTCGTTAAGGAAAGCCATTTCTCCTACAGAGAAGCTAGTCCAATGGCTTTGGCAAAGTGTTGCATAGCAATGCACTTATAATTGGCTGGCCTGTCTGTCTCTTGGCTGTCATCAGTCTGGTTCCCTCTAAAATGAACCTATTTCTAGTTCTCTGTGTCAGCTCTTTAGAACACGTTTCCAAGTAATGGAGATACGGAGCTTCACTGCCAAGAGCAGGCTGTCTTTCAGCCAAGGTGTCTGGAGACAATGGCCACAAGCATGATAGAAGCTTCCCCCGATGGGTGCTGAGTCTCCAGAGCTTGTACTCTCAGAAACCCACTTTCCGTTTCCCCTGAGCCTCTTAGCCCCAGAACAAACAGTGGTGTCAAAGAGGGTAATCAGCCAGACCTTAGTTTAGGAGAATAAGAAATTTGGTTTATGAAAAGTAACACACACTCAGGCTCACAAGAGACTAATGTAAACAGATGCTGACTTCTTCATATGAACTGAGAAATGCTAATGCCAGAAAGATACTTGTCACAGGGAACCCTTGTGACCACAATGGTATTGCTTTTTCTCTATCCAGTCTATTTCTTTACTGACCTTTTCTTTTAAAATATATTTTATTGATTTTTTTATGAAGAGGAAGGGAGAGGGATAGTTAGAAACATTGATGAGAGAGAAACATCGATCAACTCCGCCCTGCACACCCCCTACTGGGAGATGTGCCCACAACCAAGGTACATGCCCTTGACCAGAATCGAACCTGGGACTCTTCAGTCTGCAGGCCGATGCTCTATCCACTGAGCCAAACTGGTTAGGGCTAAAAGCAAATTCTTCTGAGCAGACTGGGAAACTAGCAGCTAATGCTTTGGAAGTGGGGATGGCTGATTTGCTTATCTCTATTCTAAAGTAATTCTCCCCCCCCCCCCCCCCCGGGTTACTCTTAGGCTCTGACAGAGCAGTATTGGCACCTTCCCTCTCTTTGAGTCTGTTGACATTGGTCTTTTATGACTACAAAACAGTTCACAATGATAAAACGGAATGGAATGTATTCTAGGTTTTTGAGGAATGCCAATGACTTTTGATTTGGATTTAAGCGATGCTTTCATGTCTTCACTAATACATTGTCCAATCAGGCTATCCCGGAGATGGGCCAGTCTGATCTTATATATGATTATTATGATGAGAGGGTGGCTTTTTCCTGATCTTGACCCTAAGCCCAAGACAAACTACTGGTTAAACATTTGGAATGTTTTCTGCATGAATGATACTAGGTACCTCCTTCTCCAGTAACTCTTCCTTATGTGTTTTTCCAGGGCTCAGAAAAAACTCTCCTGTAGTCTAGAAGACTTGAGAAGTGAACCTGTGGATAAGGTCAGCCCATTGTGAGCTCCTGAGTTACTTCTCTGTGCCTCGCACAGTGCAGGGACACAAGCAAGGTCCCGGTCCCCGCCTTGTAGGCCTTTTATAAAGTTAATGGGGTGGCAGGAATTTATGGAAATATCTTGAAAAAAACAAAACAAAACAAAAAACAGTCAAGTGAGGTCCAAGACATCCTAGCAGCCAGGTAAGCCAGGAAATGTTGCCTGAAGTTGATGAGAAAAGATACTGAGGTGGGCAGAGGCAGGTTTTGGGAAATGGGGAGCATGAGAAGGTAAGGTCAAGACCATGAGTTATATTAAGCCCCAGAAGAACTTGAATGCTGGCCGAGTATCCTCAGGGCACCATGTGTATTGCAGAGATTCTAAATGAAGTGATGTGGATAGAGACAATCCCAAGAGTGAGCTACACGATCATTGAGAAGATTGTAGAGAAGGTGTTTGTAAGGGTCTGGAAAGATGAGGAGGACTCTGTGGCCCTTTATGAGGATAGCTCTGGACCATGTGGGTAAACCCAACTGGAGGAGAGTGTCACAGGCTTTTGATTGGGGACATTGGAGACCAAGGGGTCCTGCCCTGACAGAGCATCTCCACTGAGCCCCGCTGCCCAGGATCCTGTGGTCTCTAGCAGTACATCAGCCTCCCTGGTGATGCTGTGGAAAACCATAGAGGGGAGAGGTGGCAGGAGGCACAGGCCCATTCAGTAGCTTTGTTCCCATGGTCCTTTGCCTCTTGCTTCTTCTGGTCAGATGTTGGCAGCTGCCCAGAACATCTGTCTATGTGGTTGGACAGTGATTCCTGTTTCCTGCCATGGAGGATGGCTACCTGGCATAACAATAGGGAGGGAGGGGATGAGCCTTGCAAATTCAAGCCGGTCCTGAGTTGTTTGTGACTAACACAGGTCTCTTTTTCTCCACATAAATGGAAATCCTCCTTATCATTCCATAGTGTGTCAACGGGAACAAACTGTTCCTGGTGGGAGAATCCAAGGTATGTTAAATGCATGTCCCTCTCACCTGTACGTGATTGTAGTGTTTGCTAGAGTGTTTTCATGTAGCAAGTTACAGCTTCTGTAACTTTAAAATATGTTAACTCTAAAGGGTAAGAGGGTGAGAGAAAAGAGAACATTTTCCATTTTCTTTGTATGTGCACCCCGCTGTCTTGTGTGCTTTCACCTCCATTCTCTGTGGGGGTAGGGTTTCGTATATCTTCTCCATTTTATAGGCTCAGAGAAATTCATCTTCAACCAGGCAGCGTATATGCGATTACTGGAAAGGGGATATGGTCTCACCACACAACTAGAGGAGGGCGACAGCTTTCACTCTTTCTGTGCTGATATGCCATGACTAAAAACCCAGATGTCCGTTCAGCCACAGCAGCAACTAACATTGGTGACTGAGCGCTCACTGCACTGTAAGAAACACTGTATTCTTTTCTAGCTCTGTCTCTGACACACATCTGCTGGGCTTCCCTAGAATATCATCACCGATCCCAGCTCTTCCTCTGGAGCCCTGCTCCTGACAGCTCTAGAATATAAGCCTCCTGGCCCTCTCTGAGTTAAACATCCTCTTCTCATGTGCACAGATCACAAACCTTTGGCATCTCTGTTCAGTCTCCTGGGATCAGCACTAGTTCCTCAGAGTCTCCTTCAGCTGTGCGTGACGTTCCTGATGGGGTCTGACCGATGTCCTCCCACCCAGGGACTGCTCTGGTGGTACCGCTGTCACTCCAGGCCCCAGCACATGACCTTTTCAGTGCTCTGTTTACGGGCTCTGAGGCAGGGACTGTTACTCTCTATTTAGAAACGAGCAAAGGTTCTGAGAGGCTAAGAAAAAGGGCTTCGCCTAGGTTGGTCTGACTCAACGCCCAGGCTCCTCCCACTCAATGTGCTGCCTCTGTGCTGGGCAGTCAGTTCCATGCTGCTCCCCGGCTGGGAGTTCATCAATCCCCTTAACCAGGCTTAATCTTCTTGGAGACTAGGGAAGCAACCTGATTCAAACATTTCTATTTTCCCTGGGTCCCATCCTGACCTTGCACGACCTTCCCTCGCAGTGAGTCCTTCCTTCCCAGCTTCTCTTCTTGGCTAAATAGAGCTAAGAGCCCTTTCTGCCGCCTTGATCTCTTTCCCACTGATCTGGGCCACCTTTGAAGCCCACCCATTGGGTTAGATCCATGCGTTCTTTACCTTTCAGCTCCTCAGCAGGTGCCCCGAGCAGACCACATCAATGACCTCGGTTGCCTCTGCCCTTCTTAAGAGAGCATGAGTGTTGATGCAACCAGAGAACTGTTTTGAGGCTGCCCTCCCCCCATATTTTCTGTATATTATAGAACTTGGAGTCTGGCCCTTCAATTTTCTAAATTGGTTGAATTTTGCCTTTCCCACAGTTAGAAAAAGTACAGACTTCCAGGGTACAGTCCTAGAGGGGCTGATTCATGGGACCGGGTTGCAACATGGGGATTTACATGGTTTTACATGTGTCCCAGGTGATGGGAGGCAGCCCGTCCAGGAATCAACATTTGGACACTGATGGGCTTGAGCACATGTCTGTCCTTTCAGGCCCAGGCTCTATCTATAGGTCCCTGTGAACTTAAAAACCACATGATCTCCATCTCTCAAGGTTCTGATGATTTCCACTTCACCAGCCGTTCCTTCAGAATTATTTGAGAATTTCACGTACTTTTCTCATAGTCCTCCTTTCTGAGCTTCTTTCTAGGGCATTAGTATTCAATTCCAAAGAATGAATTGGATTTCAAACAATTTCTAGGACATGCATTTATAAGCAAGTGAATTCAGAAATGTATTGGGCACATGGCTGTTAACTAAACAAAATTTCAAAAGATATCTCAGTCCAGAAGTCTCCCTTTGCTTGTCTAACTTGTCCATTTTGAAATCAATTTTGTCTTTCATGTTACTTTTTTTCTCTGGGGCCAACCAAGTGGTCCACAGTTGACTCTCTTGGTCATGTTGCTTCAACTTTTCTTTTTCTTTTATTTCTCATTCAAATGCATTGCACGCTGTTTCCCTCACATTTGTGAGTTTAGGGGCCATTGTGTCTTTCTTGACCAAGTAAGTCCAATTCTCCTTTCTCTTCCAATCATCTATTTCTTTGGGACACTGTCTATGGCCAGCCCATTGCCCTGGGGCTAAACCTTATGCAGATCGTGATCCCGAGTTCCTAGGGGATTCTGTTGGCATGTAACCCTCTTGCTCATTTTCTGTGGTCATCTCCCCTGAGTGCAGTGTACCTTCTCTCTTTGCCTTAATCAGGCATTTTTCAAAATTAATATTTTCATAATATATAATTATTAACATATAATATAGGAGTTATATATTATTATATTAGGTATAATATATAATACATTAGTTATTATATAATAAAACAATAGCTTTTATTAGAATTCTGATTTATTTATTCAAAGGGCTCAAAGGGTAATTTATAGCTGTTAATTCACTGAGCCTCTGAGCACTACAGCAAATGAAAAGGTCTCCTCTGCATCTTTCCTCCACTTCCTGCTTAGTCAGGGCTCACACAGCCCTGCATTTGGGCTTTCCCCAGCCCTGTCTCACTGTGAAGCCTCAGAACTCTGGTCCCCTCTCCTGGCCTGCACTGAATGACCTCTGAGGGGTCTCGGAGTCAGCTGGAGTGAAGTTGGCTCTTGGAGAGCAGGGTGTTGTCCCTGCAGCCCAAGGTTTCCTAGTGGAGCTTGAGTCTGAGACTGACCACTAACTCAATATCTCTCTCCTTCCAACAGGACAGCCCTTTCCTGGCGGAGCACAAATACCCCACGTTACCTGGGAAGCTTTCAGGAGCCATGCCCAATGGAGACGCTGCCAAATCTACTCCCACCAGCCCTCAGCCTGACCCCACAGGAAACAGCCTACGGAGGCTGAGTGAGTGTCCAGGCCTTGGTACCTCCACTTAGTGCACGAGATCCTGTGCCCACCACGGCAGCCCGCAGCTGGAGAAAGAGGCGGGTGGGCAAATGGGACAAGTCAGACCGCTTCCAGAGACTCTGGCTCCCTGTCTGGGTACAATGTTTCCTTCAGTAAACACCTTAGAGCCCAAGAAACCAGGGTGTGCACACATTCTTTCCAGCTGCAATTCCTCCACCCCTATCTCTCCTGTTCCTCCTCTCTCGAACCCTTTCCTGCCCTTCCCATAATTCCTCCTTTGCCTCCTTCTGAGACTCCCCACTCCACCCTTCCTGTCCCTGCTCTGCCTCCTCTGTCACCCTCATCTCCCCTTTCCTCTCTCTCCTTCCTCTCTGCAGCCTATTTCCAGTAGGTTGGTATTATGAGCTCTCCTGAGGGAGAACACTTCCTTAGAGAAATAGAATCAGTGGCCAGTGTGCAAGGATGCCAGTACACAGATATCCATTGGATGCTTAAGACCCGAAACCGTGGAGGTCCCTGCTGCTTTTCATACAGAAGAGGCCATCTTTCCCCTACAGCAGTGGTCGGCAAACTTTGGCTTGCAAGCCACATGCGGCTCTCGAGCCACAGTTTGCCGCTCTGTTGACTAAAGAGTTTGCCGACCACGGCCCTATAGCATCGCATATCCATGGAACCTGGGAGGGAAAATTCAGGTCCTGGCAGAGCTCTCCTACCCCTGACTCCTCATCCCTGGCTATTCCCTGGGCCAGCCCTTGTGTTGGCGTCTGTCCTTGGCCAGTTCTGCCTCTAGCTGCAGGAGCTCCATATAAGCCCTTGAATGAGTATGTCTTGGTGACCCTCGGACTTGGACTTGCAGTGGCTTTGGACATTCTAGTCTGACTGAGTCCTGGCACCTGCACAAGCTTTGTGGGCTCGGTGTATTCAGCCCTGCCACCCTTCCTCCCCCTCCCTACCTGTGGATGCCTCACCTGCCAGGAAGTGGCTCCAAGGGTGTTCAGTCCCCTCACCTGAAACCTCCTCTCACTGCCTTGGCCCTGTGTGCCGAGCTTAGTCCCCATTTCTCCCTTTTCTTCCTTGTGGGGATTATTTTTCTTTCTGTTTGAGTTTTTCTCTCTTGCTCGATGACTTTTGTTTATTTCTTTGCTTCCCTATAACTCTGGTGGGCTGGACTTGGGCCTCTGTTGCTTCTTCATGTGGCTTCTCTGCTTCTTGGTTGGCTGGAGATCGTGGCCGGAGTGTCAGTGCCCCCGTATTAGGTACTGTACCCTTCCAGGTGAGGTGGAGTGTGACATGCCCTACCCCAACCGTCCCTTCTGAGCGTGCAGCCAGGTACCCCTCCTGCCTGAGTTCCCCAATCTCCCTGGGGAAAAATAAAGCACCTTCCTTGTTGGAGTTCCCTGCAAGTATTTGGACCCCAAGCCCTTTGAATTTGAAGGCGTTAGCTCACCCAGATTTGAAACCTTACGCTCATTAAGTCCCCCTAGAGAACCCTGGAGTGTGCTTGAGCCCCCTACTGAGGTCTTGGTGTAAAGTTCTGCCCTGAAGGCAGAGCTGGACAGACTCTTCCCAACGCCCCCTGGAGGATGTCCAGGCCTGGGGGAGAAGTTTCTGAAGGTCATGGCCCTTCCACTCATTCACACATCATCACATTCTTTCAATCTCAGGAGATACTGAAAGCGGTTGGGATGATACTGTGATGACCAACGACTTCTCATCCACGTCATCTGGTACGGAGTCGGGTCCACAGTCTCCCCTGACACCAGATGGTAAACGGAGCCCCAAAGGCATCAAGAAATTCTGGGGAAAGTAAGTTGGTGGTGATGATTGTACTTCTATTGCTTGGGATTAATATTCTTCTTGACTGGGCAAAGAGCCTACATAACCCCCTGTGCAATTAAATATTAGAAAAACAGTGAAAATAGAGTGCTCCAAGAATTTGAGTGACTTTTTTTAGGGCCCAGAGAAAGAGAACGGTGAAAGGCATCTATTAAATATAGCCAGTTACCCTACATGCCATTCATTCTAGGCGCTCTCCCATTCCACACAGCCTGAGCACATTCTCTGCAGTTCCAGGGTGTGCACACGCAATATACGTGCACGTCCGCATGTGGTATTTTGTGGAAGAACCATGTGCTTTGGGAGAGACACATGTGTGAGAACACTTGCGTCTGTTTTAGGGGTCAGTCTGAGTCTTAAAACATCTTTGAAGATAGGAAACTGACTGCTTGCTGGCCCAACAGACCCAGTCTGTGAAATGAAGCAGAAACCAGGGCCTCCTGCCAGGCACCAACCTCCACTTTCACTCCCAAAGGGAGAGGCCCAAATCCCAGAGGCAGGGTTAGAATTGAAGCTTGACTCTGGCCAAGGAGCTATCACAGGTCATGATCCTTGACCTCTGGGGAGGCACGGGGAAGCAGTGCCATTGAGTCCTGGGTCTGGCCTGTGTAGATCTGCGTAGGAGGGGGTGCGCCCCACAGCACGCTTCCAGGCTGTCCCTGACAGATTCCGTGGATGCTCTCCACACAGAATCCGAAGAACTCAGTCAGGAAATTTCAACACCGATGCACCGGGGATGGCAGAGTTTCGGCGAGGTGGACTCCGGGCAACTGCAGGGCCAAGGCTCTCTAGGACGAGAGACCCCAAGGGTCAGAAAAGGTAAGGCTCCCTCTAGTCCATCTACAAAGAAATCCTGGCCATGGTGGAGCAGGGCCAGGGCGGATGTCCCAGAGATTCCAGAGGTGGAAGGTGGAAGGTGGAAGGCAGAAGCTCCTAGTGCAGGGCTTCCCAACCCTTCCCATTGGACTCAAGTAGACCTCACTCATGCTCATAGGCACATGGAGGAAGAAGCAAGAGCGTTTTTTGTTTGGCGAGTTTTTTTTTTGTTTGTTTTTTTTTAATCATTCTGGCCCTTTAAGAAAATCACTCCTTTTTAACAACTCAACCAGGCATTAATTTTTTTTTTTTTTTAACCAGCATGTTAGGGGTACTTTCTTGGAAGGAGCCTTCTATATATTCCATAAATCACCACTTATTTTTAAAAATGAATATAAAGTTGCTTTGTCAATTTCTTTCCTCTCACTCCCGAAAGAAGTTTCTATGGGGATTTTAAGTCTGCCATTAATATTCACACTTTACATGAAAAATTGATGTCTCTAAGAATTGACGGCTTTGTAATACCCAGGCATCCTGTCTAGAAACACGATCTGGCTCTTCATTTATTCATGTCTTTTTATGCTGCTCAGTTGGATGTTACAATTACCACCTCCCCCCACACCCACAGGTTGTGACTCAGGACCCACACATTCTTTGAAAAGGCAGCTCCTAGATATTTTATCATTTTGGTTGCTATGAGTGGGATTTTAAATTATTTTAACAAAAAATGTTAGTGTCTGTGCACTGATCATATAAAGAAAATTGTGGATTGATACATGTCATAAATATTATGTGTGTGTGTATTTTATAACTAGCCATCTTACTGAGTGCTCTAGGGTTTTCAAGATTGATAGTCTTCTGAAAGGCATGGATTTTGTTTATTTTGACCTTTCTAATGGCTATACTTCTTATTTTGATCTCATCTCTTCTTATACTGACTACAAGTCTCAGTTATTAGTGTTGATATTAGTACTGATAAAAAGTCTTACTTTTTAATATATATATATATATATATATATATATATATATATTATTGATTTAAGAGATGAGGAGAGAGAGAGATAGAAACATCAATAATAAGAGAGAATCATTGATCAGCTGCCTCCTGCACATCCCACACTGGTGATCAAGCCTGTAACTCCGGAGTTGAACTGTGACTTCCTGGTTCATAGGTCAACACTCAATCACTGAACCAAGCTTGCCGGGCTTGCTTTTTTATTGGCTTCAATGTGAATGCCCCTAGTATTTCATTATGTATTAGCTGTTGTTGATTGGAGTGTTTTTGTTTGTTTGTTTTTTAATGTTAGAGAACTGACCTTTTTTCCTAGTTTCCTGAGTGTTTTCCTAAAAGTGGTGTTGAACCCTGTGGAAAACATGAGGGGGCAGGACTCTGGACTTGAGGCACGTGTGCACATGTGTGTGAACCACAGGACATGTAATCACGGCCTCACAAGGATCATGTAACAGCCCCATGCTCTCAGCAGCTACAGACTTTAATTCAGACCAGCTGCCACCACCGGAAACTAGAGACCACCTCAGATGAGGGTGTGGAATTTTTTTCACCTAGATCCCATGGTGGGGAACATTTGTAAAAACATAGCCCCCCTCTTTGTGAGGCTCAGTTACGTACAGAGGGAGCCTCAGGCCCCCCACTTACAGACAGTGCTGTCTTCCTGCTTCCCAGTGACCCCAATGCCCCCTTCGCCCAGTGGAATACGGAGCGCGTGTGCATGTGGCTGGAGGACTTCGGCCTGGCTCAGTACGTGATCTTTGCCAGACAGTGGGTGACTTCTGGCCACACTTTACTGACCGCTACCCCTCAGGACATGGAAAAGGTAAGAGCTGAGCCTCCGGGCAAGGAGATTCCCATCTTTCCCCAAACCAATGCCTGGGAGGTGAGGTGCCCCAATCCTCCTGGACCCCTTTTCTCCCACCCCCCACTCTACACACAACAGAGTGGACAAAGTAGGCCCAGACTCCCTCTGTTGCTGCAAATTGATCCCTTGTTGCTGTGCAGGATTCTGCTGCCACCCAGGTGGAATATCTCCACCCAGACACAGCGTCCTCTGAAGGCTAAGCTGCCCTCCAAAAATTCACATCTGTCTTCATCTTTCAATTTCAGGAGCTGGGAATTAAGCACCCTCTTCACAGGAAGAAGCTGGTTTTAGCCATAAAAGCCATCAACACCAAGCAGGAGGAGAAGTCTGCACTCCTGGACCACATCTGGGTGACACGTAAGGACAAGCTTCTGTGCATTATGTCTCTGGCAGCTCCTCGGGGGAGACGGTTTCCCTGGGAATGTGTGTCTCAAAGACGCTGTCTCCTTGGGGAAGGCAGATGTATTACTAAACCTTATGGCAAGTACAGCCGGAACTCCAGAATGAGCATCTGCTGCCCCCTTTCCTTTGGCACCCACATCCTCCCATTCTCTCGAATCCTACTCACCCGTTTCCTCCTGTTTCTGCAGGTTGGCTTGATGATATTGGCTTACCCCAGTACAAAGACCAGTTTCATGAATCCAGAGTTGATGGGCGCATGCTGCAGTACCTGACTGTGGTGAGGGTTTTCCCTTTCAATAGTTCACTCGTCCCTGTGAGCACTCAGCTCAGGTGTCCCTGGGATGGCTATTTTAAACTTGATTCCCTCACACTCTTACGGTCTGAAAATCCTGGTGTTTGTCACATAAGGGGTGCCAAGTAGCCAAATCCAAACCATCGTGCTAAGAAAAGCTGTTGGTGTGCCCACGTGCACCTGCCGAGATGTGGTGGGCTTGTCTGTGTTTGGTCTGAGAAAGGACCTCGGGGGGGTCTTTTGTCACTTTGGAAACTCTGGTTCATCAACCAAAACTTTCCTCTTCCAGAATGATTTACTCTTCTTAAAAGTCACCAGCCAACTACATCATCTCAGCATCAAATGTGCCATTCACGTGCTGCACGTCAACAAGTTCAACCCCCACTGCCTGCATCGGCGGCCAGCTGATGAGGTGAGGGCTGGACCGTACCTATCTGGGTAGCCCAGAACCAGGACATCTGTAAGATTGGGTATAAGAAAACAAAAGTAACATCGTCACAAACTGGCTGCGTTTCAGACTTTGCTGCTCCCGCCCTCTGGCCCGCAGCATGTGTCTCCCCAAGGGAAAGTGGGAACTTGAAGGTCTGGTGGCTCCTGTGGGGCACAAAGTATAGACCACTTTGTGCCCCACAGGAGCCACCAGACCTTCAAGTTCCCACTTTCCCTTGGGGAGACACATGCTGCGGGCCAGAGGGTGGGGGCAACAAGACTTGCACAGCCATCATAATAATGAAAGGCAATAAGGAAATGTGCAAAGGAGAGGGAGGGAAGAGGCAGAGGAGAGGAGATGAAGAGCCCATAAGGAACCAGACATTGTGGACTAGATCTCCCTATTGGTAGATATGAAATTAACTGACCTCCAGTCCTGGGTGCACAGGGGATCCATGAGCAGGTTTTTCCTAGAGAATAAACTGTGTCATTAAACACAGCAACCCAAATTCTGGAGGAGTCCCTGGTCATGTTCCGTGAACCTCAGTGCTCCTGGTGGGCCCTGAAGCTAACGGGCTGTGACTACACCACGTCTCCCATGTTCCTGGGAACTAAGACTAACTGCTCTAAGATTGACTCTGAGGGACTAACAACACCTACCCTTACCCTCCACCACCTATTATTTTCCCTGTTCAGCAAATAAGTTTTCTGTACAATGGGCACATGCTGGGTATTTTGAAGACCCGTTGCCCCCGGAGGGCACTTAGGCACAAGTATCTCAGTGTGTGCTCTCCTAAAACATCGGGCCACGCCAGGGAGATGTGTTTGTCTATAAAACACTCAGCTCATAATCGACAGTCCTCTTTAAGGTTACGTTGAATCACTGAATAAATGGCTCTGTGCCCTTGGGGACTATTGTTTCCAAAGTTAACCAGAGAATTAGGGGATAACAGGATTCTGGAATCGGATAGCTCGGTGTAGAATATCCTGCCTGATACCATGAGAGCTCCGTTTCCTGGAAACTGGAAACGCTCTCGGGCAACTGGTCTTGCCACCTGCGTCCCTGGGGGCATGGGGCTTGTCTTCTGGCGAGGCAGCCGGGGCGGGCTCATTCCCGGGGACTGCTCCACAGAGCGCCACGGTGGGGTCGGTTAGACCTAATCTCATGGTTCTTTTCCGTCACAGGGCAACCTTTCTGCTTCAGAAGTTGTGCAGTGGTCCAACCACAGGGTGATGGAGTGGTTGCGATCCGTGGACCTGGCGGAGTATGCACCCAACCTTCGTGGGAGCGGCGTCCACGGAGGTCTCATTGTGAGTGGCTCTTTGGACCAGCCCTCCTGCCTCAGTGAAAGCTGGGCTATTCAGGAATTGCTTTCTTCAGGGCTAGACATCAGTCCTAGTAAAAATATTTGATATTTCACCTGAAATCCTTGTACAAGTTGAAATCTCAAAGTGTTTTTGATAATTTGTGGTTGAGAATTAATATACCTCATAGAAGCAAGACGGCCCCTGGAGGGACTTGCCTAGCCACAGACCAGAGGGTTCCGGGGAAAGGGGCTGGGTGAGAATCAGCCCTCAGCTCTTACCTCCTCCTATAGAACATGGGGGCCAGAGAGGACAGCTAATTCCCCCTCCAAATGTAGCTTCCTGCTTGCCATGATACAGTCCTCATCTTCACTCAGATCTGTCAAGTGGCGAAGCCAGCAGGGATATGAAGGGGTGGCTTGGATGTCAACCAGAGTGGAGTCTGGGAGGTGTGCTTATCTAAGAGGTCACAGTTCTCTGCTCGTCTGTGAAAAGGAGATGATCGGTCAGCAGCTGTGCTAGTGTCTGCTCAAAGCCAGGCTCTGGGCCAGGTAGAGAGGGGTGTGGGACACAGGTCAAGTGCGAGCTTCAGCTGTTCTCTGCAGGCGCACCCAGGCCCGCAGTGATGGGGGAGCTCATTTCTTAGTCATCACCTGGAGTCCCTTCGTCACCCCTGGGCAGCTTGTCTGGTTTCTTCTTAGATCCTGGAGCCACGCTTCACTGGGGACACCCTGGCTATGCTTCTCAACATCCCCCCACAAAAGACGCTCCTCAGACGCCACCTAACTACCAAATTCAATGCTCTGATTGGTCCTGAGGCTGAACAGGAGAAGCGGGAGAAAATGACCTCACCAGCTTACACACCACTGACCACCACAGCCAAAGTCCGGGTGAGTGGCAACACCTTCTGCGGCAGTCCGGCGGCCCTCCTCCTGCCCTCGTGCTGCACAGCCGTGACCCAGCACCTGGGGCCAACCCCGAGCGTGCACCTGGACCAGGAGCTCTCTCAGCTCTGCTGTGGTCTCGCTGTTGGCGTGTTAGCTCCCGGCCACACTTGAGTCCAAGTGCAGGTTGCTTAACATGGACATCACGCGCAGAAAGCAGTTACTCTCGAGAGGCTAGGAGCTTGTCCTCTACCTTGCCTCACTTTCCCAGGCCTGAGCTCCCTGCAGTCAAACCCAGTTTTGTGCCACAGGAGTATTCCCCTTGGCAGCTGGCACATAGTTAACCAGTTGTCCAAGTACTGGGGCTCTCAGAATGCCACCAAGCCCATCTGACCTGTCTGAGCTACATGGTCCTCAGAGCAGGTCCTTCCCAGACCTCCTTCGCCAAGGGAGCAGGACAGAAAGTGTGTCTGGGGAAACACTGCTGGGCGCAGATGGAGGGGGAAAGGAGGGCCAGCAGGCCTGTCCCCTGTGGCTCCACAAGGGCAAGGATAACTCCCCTGTGTGGCACCAGCAGCTGTGGTGAGGCAGGGCTCTAGGCATCCCTGTCCCCGGGCAATGCCAGCATCCCTGCTGGGACAGGAGGCATGCGTCTCAGGAGTGGAGTCTTGGGGGGACAGCACTCCACGTAAGATCATTTACCTGTTGGTCTTTCCCCAGCATAGATATTGCTTACAGGGGCTCTGTTTGGTTAAGAGAGTTTTTCCAGAAGCATTTGACTTGCATCTTTCTCAGAGGCCTGCTGTGTAAGGTATGGTCAGTCATATCTGCACCCCAGCTTGACAATCTCCTCATAATCTTGCGTTTGCTGTATTTTAGCCAAGGAAACTGGGATTCTCACATTTTGGAAACATAAGGAAGAAGAAGTTCGACGAATCAACAGACTACATCTGCCCTATGGAGCCCAGTGACAGCATCGGTGACAGGGTCTACAGTGGCTACCGGGGCCCCGGCCCACTCGATGCCCCCGAAGTGGATGGGCTGGACCAGGTGGGATAGATTAGCTGATGCCCCTGTCACCTGTCCTCTCTGTGCACCCCGAGAACTCACAGTAACACCATGTGTGTCAGCACATAACTGCATCTCACCCCCGTGCGTGTGCATGGCTCGCAGAGAACACTCAGCCATCGTGTTCCCCTGGGCCTGTCTCTCGAACCCCGAGGGTGGCCAGGGCATGGAGTCGCACCTTTGCTGAGGGGCCAGACTTTGGGGACGGTTGCCAAAGGTGCTCTCACTCAGGGGGAAAGACACTAAAAGAAGCCTGTACATTTTTAGTACTTCTCGGTGCCCCATCTTCAGCACCCGTGGGAATAGACGAGCTTGGACACAGGTCCTGAGACTGTGGACCATCGCCAGGGGCTCACTCCCGGGCCCGTCCACTGTGCTTCAGTTGAAGGGCAATCTCAAGTGCCTTAGGCCTGTGCCACAGTCTCGGCTGGGATCCCAGGGACAGCAGCAGGGTTTTCTGCCACCACGACAAGGTCCCTGTGCTGTGCCTTACTACAGAGGTGGTCTCTTCCTCCTGGTAATAAAACGATATTTATGTGGAAAGCAAACCGTACAGCACGTCTTTAGTCTTGGTAGGGAAGAGAGCCGAGCACATCTGGAGATGAGTCCTGCCCCCTGCATGGTGTGACCACCAGCGGCACCCAGCCGGAGGACGGCTCCTCGCCGTGCACACTATGGATTTGCCAAGTGTCATGGACAAGGAGGAGAGCCAGGGAAGGGCCCCCATCCCAAATCCTTCAGAGGAGGCCGGTGGCCCTGTGGTCTCAGGCTCCATCCCCCTGGTCTCTCACACACACGTCCTGACTGTAGGTCACATCTCATGTGCAGACCCCACAGCTGGTTTGTTTCGGCGGCGTGGGCCACTCAGGGAAGGCGGCGGCTGGGAGACAAGAAGGTGGCCTTGCTGGCAGGACTTTCTGCTCTTTCATGTGCTTTGCCAGCTTCTCTGTTATGGGCCCAGCTGGGCCCCTAGCCACCGTGGGGGTTGGCCCGCCTGTGCTGGCAGGGCTGCAAAGACCTGCTTCCTGATTTAGAGGCTGACTAACTGATAATGGGCCTTCCAGACTGGCTTTGTCTGGCCAAGGGCTGCGTGAGAGACACGCCTGGGCTCTTGCCCAGGAGATTCCAGCTTACCCAGGGCAGCTTTTGGCTCCACTGGGTCCCCTAGGGCCTCATCTGCAGAAGCCTAACAGCCTCATTGTGACCCCGTTGAGGACACTCTGATTCTGTCCCAGATGGAGCCAGTGCTCAGATTTGCTTCTTAAACTACTTGTAACCTCAGGCCATGGCCTCTGTCTGTCTCCCCTCACTTTCGGCCAGTGAGAGATGGACGAGCTCACCAGCTGGCACGGCTGGTGTTTGATGCCAGTGCCTAGGACCTTGCGTGGCAGGTGCATCTAGAGGTTGGTTCCTGGGTACCACACGTTGTAGAACCATAGTCAGGGCAGGCTCTGACCCTTCTTCTGTTCTTTTCTTTTCTAATTTCAGAGAGGAAGGGAGATGGAGAGATAGGAACATCAATGATGGGAGAGAATCCTGAATCAGCTGCCTCCTAAACACCCGCTACCGGGAATCGAACCATGATCTCCTGGTTCACGGGTTGATGCTCAACCACTGAGTCACACTAGCTGGGCTATCCCTTACTTCATATTGCATCCCTGGGAGGGTATCCCTGCATGTGCCTGTTTTCAAACTGCATGGAATTACATCACTAATTCTCTGTGTGGGCACATGCAAGGCCTTCATCCCCGTGTGGGCCCCCATTTTCCCACCTGTGAAATCCTCCCTGAGGATGCTCCCTGTGCCTGTGCCGGGATTGGTGTCCGGGGTCCTATTGGTGCCAGAAGTCATCTGTGTATTCAGCATCTTGAAGGCCTTCCTCTCTGCTCTGGAAATAGAGCCTTGAACATATAGGAAAGGGTTGCTGCTGGACCCAGGAGAGCATGTGCATGGCAGTGTGGGACACTGGAGGCTCTGTGTTTCCCCGGGGACAGAGGTGGCATGTGCTCCCAGGGCCTGGCCCACACCTGTCTGCACCCGGAGGGGAGCACGCCCAAGCTGTAGAAGATGCGCATGCCATTTCTGTGAGTCAGAGTGGAGTCCACGTGTGCTGACCGGGCCACTGCCCGTCTTACAGATGGCACCTTCAGAAGGCACGGTGACGCAGATAGGGCTCCTCTCCCGAGACATCCACCGCCTCACGGTAGGACCCTGACGCTCTCCACAGAACAGGTGCTGGGATGAGATTGGTGAGGTGGTGCACAAGGCCTGGGACAGCCCTGTCCCCACTCCAGAACCTGTGTCATCAGCAGCTCTCGGGTGGGATGGAGGTGGCGGTGCAGAGAGAACAAAGGAGGGTGCTGGGCGCTGGGGCCAGAGCCTGAGCCAGCCCTTAGGCAGCAGGCGGTGCACATGCCTTCTCCACGGGCCTGCTGCTGGGCCTGAGCAGTTCAGGGCCCTGGGGAGGGTTATGGGCCTCGATTAAAAACCAACTAAAGCACGCCAGGCCTCAGGTCCTCTTCCCAGACTCAGAGCTGGTGAGGAAACCGAGATGCTCAGTGGCTCTGGTCACCTGCCCAGTCAGCCCAATGCCCCGTCTCACCTCTGGCCTGGTGGGCACTATTCTACCCTCTTTGCCCATGGGCCCCACATATGTCCCATCATGCCTCTGACATCCTGAATATCAAGTCACTTGCACACGTACTGGCGTGTCCAGCAGGCAGCCTGGTCTCGGGGAGAGGAGCATCCCGGGAGTGAGGCTAGCCTGGTTCATGCCCCTGTGGGGAAGTCGGGCGAGTCATTCTCCCTCCGAGCCCCGGTTCAGTTTCTGTGAAGCAAAGCTAACATTAGCCTCCTTGCAAGATGCACAGGCAGATTAGAACAGGCAGGAAGAGGCTATCCCCGCTTCACGTTGTGGGGGCCCCATACAGTTTAGGTCTTGCTGGTTCCCATAGAGACAGGTTATAAAGGCTGCATTCAAGGGTGTGATTAGGGCAGAGGACATCTCCCTGAATCCAAGTGGGGTCATTTTTATTCAGTTGTTTTTTCTTGTCTCACCCACCTAAATGACTCCACCCAGCTCTGCCCTTCTCACCTCTAATAGGTATCTTGTAGCCTTGAAAATACCAGCTTTACCTAAGGCAGTGGTCGGTAAACGCATTAGTCAACAGAGCCAAATATCAACAGTATAACGATTGAAATTTCTTTTGAGAGCCAGATATTTTAAACCTAAACTATATTATTAACTTAATTAGGATACTCCTAAGCTGGGTTTTGCAAAAAACTCAAGGGGCCAAAGAGCCGCATGTGGCTCGCGAGCTGCGGTTTGCTGACCACTGACCTACGGTATAAGCAGTTTATCATCTTGATCATGCTGTCTGATCTGACCCAATACGCAGGGTCCCTGGGTCACCATGAACTTATAGGGACAGGTGGGACCTCCCCTAGTGCCCACTGCTTCCCACATAGCTGCCTTGACCCAAACCCCGTCCAATCGCACCTTCGGCTGTGACCTTTCAGACCATGCTGAGCCAGGACCAGATGCTGAACGACTCTCCCCTGGCTGCTCCCAACTCCGAGGACTGGAGGTGACTTCATGGCGGAGAGCCGGAGAGGCCTGTGTGGACCCCAGGCTCTGCTGCAGAGCCAGGCGGAGGCGGGCTGGGCGCCTGGGACGTGGGTGCTGGCGGCAGGGCACTGGGGCTTGGACAGATGTGGCCCCAGCGCCCCACATCTTCAACAGTGCTGTGCCCTTCGCCGCAGCTTTTATACCTTTTGTACTTTTATACGTGGCTGCGACCCCTTTCGTGTGGAAGCCGTGAGATGTGGGTGCAGGCGCAGCTGTTCCTGGTGGCCAAGGACCGAGTGAGAGACACGGGAGGGGGGGCTCTTCTACCAAAGGGCGGGGCTGAGCGTGCATAAAGGCTCTTCTGGAGAAGTGCTGAGACCACTCTCTGAGTGCAATTGGTCACTGAGCTGGGCCAGGGGATAGCAGGACCCTCCCTGCGCACTGCCAGACAGAGGCACGTGCTCCCCCTCACAGGAACCTGGTCCCATGAGGGATCTGGGTGAGAAGAGGAAAGAGCAGTGGGACTCCCAGCTCTGGCTGCCCTCAGCCTACCCTCCACTGCAAAGCAAGCCTGTCTCAGGTTCTCCGTGAAGCTGGGCAAGCAGAGCACACACACACCCTCTCTCCCTCCCCTACCGCCCCCAGCTTCCAGCTTTTCGCTCACCACCCTCCAATGCAACTGTCTGGTCAAACAGCTCACCCTAGTGGAAGAACCTTGGGGATCTCATTTCCAAAGCAACTCCATCTTCCAGGGGAGCCTGTGAACCTCAGGCAGCTCCCGCCTCAGGAGAGAGCCCCTGCCCCACAGTCCCCCCCAGCCGGTCTCTGCCCTTGGTGACTGGCCCCCTCATCCCCCTGTGATGGCTCCGGCTCAGCCCCACCTCTCATCTTATTCCACAGCTGTTCTCCTATGTGGTCCCCTCTAGATTTCTCTACCCCATCGGTGCTGCTTTAAGCCTGTTGGCTTCTGGCTAATGACTCCCCAGTTCCAGAATTACCACAGAGGAGAGCGCAAAAGCCTTCGTCAGCGCCCCAGCCCTTTGGAATCTTCAGCCTTCGGGACCCTGTGCCCACGCCTGCGCTGCTGTCTCCCTCTCCCCTCACTGTGGGTGTGTGTTTCTCCCAGCCCCCGCCACAAGGCCAAGTCCTGCCTGCTGAGGCCCGGAAGACACTGCCTCCTTCAGGAACCCCTCACTGGTGTTTCGGTTGGAGGCCCCTGTGTCCCTTGAGGCCGAGCCCTTCCTGGCTCACCTTGAAGTAACCCGTGGTCTTTCTCCCTTAACATGCCCAACCTCAACACAGACTCATTGCACGCCTGCTGTGGGCGGGCTCCACACCCATTGTAAGGCCGGATCCTGGTCCTCACCGGGCACGGGGGATCCATGCTGCAAACCCCTCCCTGCCCCCACCACACACACCACCACACATATACACACACACTCCTTTGTGTGTGCAGGTCAAGTGCCTTTCGTGCTGGACCCAAGGAGGGGTAGAGCGCCAAGGTCCTTCCTAAGGATGCAGATGGTCCTGAGAAGGCTCACAGGTCCGTCTCAAACAGGAGAGTGCCGGTGTTGCAGGGGCGCCAGTAGCAGTCCCTTCAGCCCCAACAGCAAGTTATTTCAAATAGAGGACAGGACTGGGGGCCGGGACCAAAGAGGCTCCAAGGAAGATGTGCTCACTGAGTTCTGAAAGATGAAGCAGGCTCCCCAAGGGGGCAGGCACGCCAGACAGATGGACCTGAAGCGTCTCGGCCCATCCTGGGAGGTCATGTGAAGACAGGTTTCTCGGCTCCGCACTGCTCCGTTTGGGCTGTTTACTGTCCTGGGGACTGTCCTGTGTGCTCTAGGACGATTAACCGCGCCCTTGGCCTCCCCCTAGGTGCCAATAGCAACTCTTCTCCCACTGTGACAGCCAACACTGCCTCCCAAGCCGGCCAAATAGTCCTTGGGGGGAAGATCCCCTCTAGCTGAGAACTGCCGAGCCAGAGAAGAGGGGAGAGTGGGAGGCCGGGGGAGAGAGAAATCTGGTGAGCTGGCTGGAGCCACATCAGGAAAGGCCTCATAAGCCAGGCCCTGGAGTTTATCCTGGAGACCCAGGTAGCCAGGTGGGGACGAGCAAGGTAACATTTGTGTTTAAGAAAAATATCCCAGCGTACAATCTGCTCATCATGCAGAGTATCTTTCTCTGAGGAAGGGATTCCCTGAGGACATGCTGACCACACAGAGGAATGGGGCTGGCTGCCTCCCAGCAGCCCACCCTACTGCCCGCTGGGAGGTACATCATGGGGGCCACCCTGTGGGTGCTACAAAGCTGTTCCCTAGAGCATTGTCCCTCTCTCTCCTGTAGCCCGCCCTCCCTCTCCCCCTCACGAACCCATGTATGTGATGAGTAAGAAGTCCAGCAAAATCAAGGTCTGGCAATGCCGCTGCTCTGCCAGTGTTTGTGAGAAGGGAAGGAAGTGACTTGGAATGAAACAGACACAGGTTTAAAGCCCACCTCTGCCACCTGCTGGCTGAATGACCTGGGGATAGTTACTCTGTCTCTGAGGCTCCGTTTCCTTTTCCTCTATAACTTAAAGAACAGAGTCCCCACAGACTCTGTGCCTTGTTATGAGAATCAAACAAAATGGAGAGCAGAAGGGGTTCTACCCCCTCACCGGTAACAGAGCAGGAGCATGTCCTAGCCATGAGCATCAGATGGTAAGAGTTATATATAGCCTTTGGGGTTAGTGATAGGAAGGATTTAAGGAATAGCTTCTGGAATTTCATTTTGGAAGCTTCTGCCTGTGACCACCACTACCCACCTCACCAGGACAGGGCCTGGCATTCAGAGGATGCCAGCAAAAATTCACCCCTTGCCTCCATTTGTTGTGCAAAGTGCAGGGTGTCTAGGGTTCCTGGAGCCCTCCTACCCCGTGGGTCCGCCCACTGCCCTGGCATGTGTGTTCTAAACACCATTCCTCCTTCAAGGGTCTCCCGCAGGAGAAGGGCGGGTGCTCAAGGTGGGTGCCTGAGCCCTCTCGTAGGTCTGACCTTAAAAACAAAACACTGTGGCCCTAGCCAGTTTGGCTCAGTGAATAGAGCATTAGCCTGTGGACCGAAGTGTCCCAGGTTCGATTCCGGTCAAGAGCACATCCCTCGGTTGCAGGCTCCTCCCCTGACCAGGGTCCCTGCCCGAGGCAACCAATCAGTGCATTTCTCTCACATCGATATTTCTTTCTCTCTCCCTTTTCCACTCTCCCTCAAAATCAATGAAAAAAATATCAAGTGAGAATTATAAAAACAAACGTGTATGGGGGTGGAGATGGGAGGGGGCCAGTCAAAAGAGATTACTGGGCATTGTCATGACCCCACTTGGATTCTCCTGAAATTCTGCCCCGGCACCTTTGCCAGTTCTGCCCTCCCGTGGACACACGGTCAGTGCACACTGAGGGCAGGCCAGGGCCTTCTGAGAGCCACACTCCCTGGGCTATCTGCTTGTTCTGACTTTTATTTCACTGAGCCAAGGGGAAAGGTGCTAGGATGACAGCCCTCCGAGCCTCCCCGGGCAAGGAGGCTCCCGAGGCCACTTCGTCTCCAGCCCCTTAATCCCTTCCTAGGCCCTCCCCAAGGAGGGGGGCTCCAGTGAGCCCCAGGGTGCCCTGAGGCACTTCCGAACGTGGTGACGCTGAACTCACTGTGAGTCAGATGGAAGGGGCCGGGGACGTTCGCTAAGAGCAAGGGGGTGTTAGTAGGTGAAGATCATGTCCTTGGGGTAGCCCAGTTTCTCCAGGTTCGGGTGAGCGGCTGTCTGGATCAGGGGTGGTGGGCCGCACACCAGGATGAACGTGGACTTGCTGGGAGCGGGCAGGTGCTCCTGGATCATGTCGGCGGTGATGAAGCCCGTGCTGTATCTCCAGTCTGAGGGTAAGCAGAGGAGAGCTGGGGAGGTGCCAGGGCAAGGCCCTGGCCCCAGGCCTCTTGCTGTCCCTAAAGCCAGGGAGAGGGAGGCCAGGCTGCTCTCCAAGACTCAGAAGTGTGTACCACTGTTCTCTGCAGAAAGCAGAGAAGTGGAGGACATGGGACCCCCAGGCAGGCCGCAGTTTACTCCAGGTCCCAGGCTCCGAGGCCTCTGGCCGGAGTCTGCCTGCCGTGAGCACTGCTGAGGATGGAGAAGGGGTCAGAGGCCGTATTAGAGGCAGTGTATCTGACGCCTCCATGGGATGTGTGCGGAGTGCAAGGTAGGTGTTCAGGGTGGCCCAGTGCCTCGGGGTCCCTCCTGGTATTCGGTGCAGTGTATGACGTTCTGCTGAGATGTCCAACACCTTCCCTTGACCGCCTTTGCAAGCAGGTCATTCCAAATCTCCCCTTCTTCAAATTCCTGAATTTGCCGTGGGAGGTAGGGCCCAAGTTCTCGACCCCCAAGCCCAGTCCTAATAAACACACACACACCCAGGGACTCGGCCCTGAGGTAAGTCAAGGGCCCACGGCGGGGAGAATGGGGTTCATACCAAGAGGAGGCCTGTCCAGGGTGTACCACAGGGTGAACTGCTCCGGGTGAGTTGTGGCAACTTCTTCGAGCTCCCTTCTCATCAGGATGTCGTCCTCTGTCTAAAAAGGAAGCAGCCTGAGCACGGCCCCTCCAGAGACTTCCTGCTGATCCCTCAGATGGAGTATGTGGGTTAGCAGCATGTTCATGTTCCTGGCCCGGCTGCCGCAAACTCCAGTGGAGTGCTCCCCACAGGCCCTGCTCCTGCACAACAAACCCTCTCCTGTGAGGGCAGGAGTTGGGCCGTTGGGTGACTGCCTCCAGCTGCAAGGCCGTGGCTCCACAGCAGTGGGGTGGCTTCCCTCAGAGGCCCCAGCCTCACCTCCCAAAACCACACTGAGCACCAGGCTCAGCAAACACAGCTGAAACGAGCTTAGCGTGGGCCCAGGATCTTCTGCAGGGAGTGGAAGAGGCTAAGGCAGTGATATATAATATAGTAATATGACATGATATATGATATGATGATATGATATAATCTGTATTTATATATATAAAAGCCTAAGTGACCGTTATGACCAAACTACCAGTCGATCGGTCACTATGCGCTCAATGACCACCAGGGGGCAGACGATCAATGCAGGAATTGCCCCCTGGTGGTCAGTGTACTCCCATAGCCAACCTCCCATGGTCCCCTCCCCTGAGCCAGCTGGATTGGCCCTTATCACCAGCCAGGCCAAAGGACCCCCCCTGTGCATGTATTTGTGCACTGGTGGGGTCCCTTGGCCTGGCCTGCACCCTCTCACAATCCGGGACCCCTTGGGGGATGTCAGATAGCTGTTTTCAGCCCAATCCCCGCAGGCCCAATCCGGACAGGAGGGAGCCTGATCCTGTGTGCTGAGCATCTGTCCCCTGGTGGTCAGTGTGCATCATAGTGACTGGCTATTTGGTCACTTAAATATATAGTGACTGGCTATTCGGTCACTGGAGAGCTAAAGAGAAAAACAAAGGCTGGAGCCTCATGTGGGGAAAAGCAAGCTAAAGCCTAAAGAAACTGGTCACAGGCTCGGAGATGTTGCATAGAGACCTGGAGTCCTAAAATTCATCATTCTGGTCCTCATAATTCCATCTCTGTGATTCTGTTTAAGAAAATAATCCAAAAGTGACCAAGTCAAGGTACAATTCTTCATCACCATCATTTATAACTGAAAACAATCTGAATGTAGAAGATTTAGTAAATGAGTTGAAACCGGTTTGGCTCAGTGGTAGAGCATCGGTCTGCGGACTGAAAGGTCCCAGGTTCGATTCCTGTCAATGGCATGTACATTGGTTGCGGGCACATCCCCAGTAGAGGGTGTGCAAGAGGCAGCTGGTCAATGTTTCTCTCTCATCGACGTTTCTAGCTCTCTATCTCTCTCCCTTCCTCTCTGTAAAGAATCAATTATATATATATATATATATATATATATATATATATATATATATATAATGGATTTACTAAATCTTTACTAAATCTATTTATCTATCTATCTATCTATCTATATATATAAAGATTTAGTAAATGATGGTGCAACTTGATATAGACCATAATGAAAATATTTATAAAGAGCTTTCATGAGAAGATATCTGTATGGTAATGTTGACTAAAAAAAAACACACAACTATATATATATATGTAACTGTAAATACATATAGAGTGTGCAGAGGAAAAAAAGACAATAAGTCAAATATTTATATGCTTCTGTATATTCCAAAATTTGCAAGGAGCGCTGCTATGATTTTATACTCAAATTACCATAGAACTAAGTACTAAGAAAGGAAGGAAAGCAGGGTGCTTAGGTTGGTTGGGGAGATAAGAGTTTGAAAAAAGCAACAAATGGGGAAACGGGCCAGGATGTAGCTTCTCCACCGCCAGCAGCAGCCCACTGGCCCGCCCACAGCCGCAGGCACCAAGCGGCCTGGGCTCAGTGCGGGGCGGGGAGAATGCGCAGCCCTGTTCTGCAGACATTCCATCCACCCTACCCTGGCCAGTCCAAGGCAGACTCAGCAAAACTGACCTGGTTGGCGAAGATGAGGGACATCCTGGTCTTGTCGCGCGGGTTCTTGATGATGTGGCGAATGAGCTGCAGCATGGGCGTGATTCCTGGAACACAGTGTGCGGCAGGCCAGCTCGCCCTCGCGGCGGCCCACAGTCCCTGGTCTGGAGCAGCCGGACCCCAGGTCTACTTTTCTCACTTCGGTCCCCAAAACTCACAGTGGGGAACTGCCCCTTCATTTTGGTTTTCCCTTTCTCGTTTTTGTATGGCCGGATGGAAGGAGCGTTGGCTTTGGTTTGGGAACTGGGTTCCATGCCAGTTCTCCTGCTGTCTGACCAGGGTGGTTCTCAAGTACCTGTCTGAGCAGTTCAGGGTCCTCGTTTGTGAAACAGAATTTGTGATGAGTAATTGTAATAGTTTTAAAAAGTGCCTGTCACCGTGCCTGGCTAGTTGTAGTTCTCCTTACATGTGTGTTCTCTTCTTTCAGAAATTCATATAAAAAGACGGGGGTGAGGCTTGACCTGGAGCTAGGAGTCCTTGGGGGACCACGTGTGGGCCTCCCCAGCCTGGTCCTCAGCCTCATCCCTGTCCCCAGCCTGGCTTTAGCGGCTCCCCCGGGCTCCTGGGGGGCCTCCCCCACTGTGTTGGTGAAGGGAAGCAGGGTGCACAGGGTCAGGGCCCCGGCCTAGCACTGACCCGCACTCCCATCTGAATCAGCCAGGGGAGGACTCACTCACATCTCCCCTTCTAGGATCCAAGGACTCCAAGGTCAGAAACGGCTCAGGGCTCACCTAGGACGAAGCCCTCAGAAGCCTCTTACCTGTGCCCCCAGCGATCATTCCCAGGTGACTGGCTCGTTTTTCTTCAGGCTTACTCGTTTTGTATGCTTTGACTGAAAACTTCCCTGGAAACACAGAGGATGCTGTTCACTTCTAGAGTCCTTGCCTGAGAACCTACAAAACAGCACTGCCTTTCCTTGGGACTTCTAGCAGGTGTGGCTGCACCCTTTTAAGCCAGAGCGACCTCCATGGCCAGCCTGGTGCACCCGTGCACAGAGTGGCAGGGGTCCTCAAACTTTTTAAAGTGGGGGCCAGATCACGGTCCCTCAGAGAGCTGGAGGGCTGGACTATATGAACTACTAATTCCTACTGTAACAACTCGGCTGCGCTCACTGCCCAAAAAACCTGGCGGGCCGGATCAGACTCCTCTGCGAGCCGCATGTGGCCCGCGGGCCGTAGTTTGAAGACGCCTGGAATAGAGGCTGGGCCTCTGTGGGGCATCCTGGATCTTTTCTTCTGAGGAAGGAGGGAGGTTCCACTAGGTAGGGGTGTCGAACTCAATCAGAGAAGGGGCCAAAATCTAAAATCCAGCCTAAATTGCAGGCCGAATGGTTTACTGAACAGTCATAAACTGTCATTGTTATGGAAACGCAGCGGAGTGCAGTGATGACAGCGCGGTGTGGGCCACATTGCAAGGCCTGGCGGGATGGATTTGGCCCGTGGGCCTTGTGTTTGACACATGTGCACTAGAGAGTGGCTAGGGAGCCTCACACAGCGCTCCCATCCACAGCAGCAAGCGAGCGAGTGACGCATATGGGAGCAAATGAATGAGTGTGGACTCCATCCACCCGTTTTTCAACAGTAGTGGGTTACTTTTTATGCATCAGGTGTTGTGCTGGGGATACAGAGATGAGGAAACATAACCACTCCCCTGGCTGGATGGCACCTACAAGGCTTGTGAAATGGTATGTGAAGGAGTGTGTGATCCATGGGACTCAAATCCGAGGCGTTTCCTAGAACAATGCAACTGCTATAGGAATCTCTTTCCTCCCCATGGGAGTCCCAGGGTGAACCCCCAGTACCTGGCCCGTGATAGAACAGGCGCCCAGTGGGCCCTCGAAAAAAAATGGTGTCCCCAATCTTCATGTTGTCCAAGTATTGAGACATCTTCCCTCCTTCTGGATAATTCGGGTGCACATTTTTGAAGTAGATCTGAAAAAGAAGGCAGCCTGGTTTGCACAGCCTCAGACCCGAGGCTGTGCAAACCACCACCGCACACACCTTACACGTTTGCTGTTGGAAACCATGCAGAAAGCACCCTGCACTCACTCACAATTGGAGCCACGTGGGCGGGAGATTACACCAGGTCAGTGGCTTCACTGTTAAAGGGCACTGTCTAGGGAAAGAGTCTCTTCTCCACCCCACCACCCTGATAGGCTTGTGAGGGTGAGGCACCTGGACATGGGGGGGGGGGGGCATCGTTTACCTTTATAATTAAGTCCACAAAGCCTTGGTCATCATCACTGGACACAGGTGTGTATGCTCTGATCACCAGGACACCATCAATGTTGGCCAAGAGTTGGACATAGTTACCTACAAAAAGGCATCAAACGGCAAGTCAGCATGGCCAGCCTAAATAGGACTCAGAACTCCCCTAAAGGACTGAGCCTCAGGGAGGTGGGTGGGTGCATAGTGGGGCAGGGTGCACGGGAGGAGGGCCAAGCAGGGAAGAAGCCCCAGTGCAGATGTGGGAATGCTAGGCCTGTCCTTGTCACTCCGTGTGTCACTCCTGTACAAGTCACGTCATCTCTCTGAGCATCTCTATGATTGGGGAGGGACCGTATCCCTGCCCTCCTCCATCATAGTGTGGTTGTCAGCTTCCCTCACAGGAAACCTGTTGCTAGCTAGTGTGGGCTCACCGTGTCAAATGAGCAGAGCTCATTGTTGGAGGCTGAGCATTAAAAGATTACAGAAAGGGGTGTGTCTCTTTTAAAGCAAGATATATTGCCATCACAAAGTCATTTCTTCCTAAGCTGGATGCACCACTGGGGTCAGCGAATGAGTCACAGGCCCCTCAGCTGTAACCTGTTGCCTGGCACAGAGAACACCTGGGCTACAGGTATGCAAAGCCCCAGGATTTGAACACCTGCAGACCAGAAGTTCTAGAAAGAGCACTGTGTCTTCCTGGGCAATGGCTCTGCTGAGGGGCAGCAGTGAAGTTTTGAACCATGCCATCCTGACCCTCCAGGGTGGAACTGAAGGGACCAGCTGTGGCCAGAGACCACATGATGGGCTGGGCCGTTCAGATTTCTGCTGGCTCTCACAGGGAGACTTCAGCCAATCAGCGGTGAAGGCAGAAGTGGCAATAGAGATGCTCAGAGACAGAAGCCAGAGGAAGCTCTGTGCCAGGGTGCCTGAGGGAATAGAAACTGTACACAGGAAAGGGAGTGAATATGTAGACAGAGGTAGAGACCAGGAGAGAGACAGAGAGAAGGGGGAGGAGGAGGGAAAGAGGGAGGAGTAAGAGAAAAGGGGCACTGGAGGGGCCAGTCCTTCCAATACCTTCAGAAACATAAACTAAAATCTTTGAGGAGGCCTGAAACCAAACACCACTCACCTACAGGAAGCCCCAAAACATGTTCAGTTGAGGGCAGTGCAAAGCGGAACCTCCTGGTGTTGTGGGTGATTTGCTGATAAAACAGAAAACAAAGGCAGGCTCTGTCCGCTTGCTAGAAGCTGCGCTGGGGAGCCCAGATGCCTGGGATAGGAGCTCCAGTTGGTACTTTCCCAGGTATACACACACACACACACACACACACACACAATGGCAGTGGTGAGGCCTTGAATGTCTGCCCCACAGCCTTGCCTTCCCAGCTCAGCACTTTCCCCACCCCTCTGCCCTCTTCTCTTTTACCTCTGACCCATTACCTCTTTCTCAATCAGGGGCAGCGGATACTTGGTTTCGGGGTTCTGTAAGGTGATGGCAAGTTGCCTCCTCCTTGAGTTCATGGTCTTCAGGGCCAACAGAAGCACCGTGAGCCCAATGACGGCGGCGAAGGTAACGATCAGGGCCTTGTCCTAGCCAGACACAATGCGAGCAGGGCACCTCAGGTCCTGCCTGCCTTTGGCAGGACAGTTCTCAGGCACACACAGGAGCCTTCTCCACACCCAGTGCATACACGCCGGGGTGTGCTTGAAGGAAACTGGGCAGAGGGAAAGACACTAAAAGAGAAAGCAGCCTGAGTGGTGGTGGGGTGGCGGGGAACACGGGACCCCGTGGGTGTGGGGTCAGTTGCAGGTCAGATGAGGTGGCATGTTTCAGGCTTCCTGAGCCCCGCCAAGCAGATGGCCTGGGAGTGCTAATGCTGCCAGGCCCTTCCTGCCCATCTTCCGCCATCCTCGCTACAGCCAAGGGTGCCATCTCTGGGAGTCCCCTCCTGGAGGTGGAGCGGTTGACTTCGGCATGGCTTCTGACATACAATTTGAAATGAAGGTCACACAGCCCCCAAAGACAGAACTTAGAGAGGGAGACTGGGTGTGGCATCCTCCAGAGGTGAGCTTGACTGAAAGCTGGGCAGGGGAGGGCTCGCCTCCCCTTCCCCCCACCCCCCTGGGATGCTCCATGATCTTAGCTTTTTATTTTTTATTTTTTAATATATATTTTATTATTTTTTTCAGAGAGGAAGAGAGAGAGAGATAGAGAGTTAGAAACATCGATGAGAAAGAGACATCGATCAGCTGCCTCTTGCACACACCCCCACTGGGGATGTGCCCGCAACCAAGGCACATGCCACTGACCAGAATCGAACCGGGGACCTTTCAGTCTACAGGCTGATGCTCTATCCACTGAGCCAAACCGGTTTCGGCCGTGATCTTAGCTTTTTGGGGACACGCCAACACCTCCATGGCAGGAGGAGGAGGACACAGCACTCCCCTGTCAGCCTCCGCCCAGTCTCCAACTCCATCCCGCCCGGCCCGCCTGCTCCTCTGCAGACCCCAGCGATCCCCCGGGGCCAGACTCGGGAAAGGTCCGCCGGCCCCACCGCTCACGCCCGCCCGGCGCCCCGCCGCCCCGCCCCGCACGCACCGCGCCCCCTCCACCCGCCTCCCCGCCCCTCGGTCCGCCCCCAGACCTCTCCCCGTCCCCCCCGCAACACCCCGGGGACGCCGTCGGGCTTTCCCGGGCCCCCGCCCGCCTCCGGTCTGCGGCGCCTCTCCCGCCGGCCGCCCTGCCCCGGGAGCCCACCCGGTAAGAGTCGCCGAACATGATGAAGCGGGGCTGGGGCGCGGTCCCCACCCCGCGGGCCCGCTGACTGGGGGCCGCCGACCTGCAGCTCCGCCGGACCGACGGCCGAGCCTCGCGGGCAGGTAGGGACGCCGGCGGGAGGGGAGGGCGGGGCGGGGCGGGCGACGCGTGCCCTGACCGGCCGGCGGCGGCGCGCGGCGGGGCCCTGCTGCCAGGTGACCCCCGCCCCGCGCCCGGCCCGCGGCGCGGCGTTGGAAGGTTCCTTCTCGCGTGACTCTGGCTCTGCACCTGCCCCGCGCCGCCGGGGCCAGCGGCATATCCAGGGGCTTCCCCTGCTGGGGGCTTCCTCCTTCCTGGTGAAGCATCCCTGGCCTTACCTGTAACGTGGCCCCCTCCCTCTCCAGCCTGGTCTTCTCCCTGCACGCTCTGAGCTGGCCCGATGGAGGGCGCCCTGTCCTCTCCTGGCTGGAGGGAGGCTGGACGTCTGGGTGGGAGGGAAGGGATGCAGGTATTTAGGCCAATTCTAAGAAGCATGTATCTATCTATCCTCCTGGTCTGAGCCTGGTCCAGGGCGAAGTGTTTGTAAGGGTGAGGTAGAGGTGTGATCCAGTTAAAAAAAAAAAAAAAAAAAAAAAAAAAAAAAAAAAAAAAAAAAAAAAAAAAAAAAAAAAAAGACATTATTCAGGGTGGTCATTCATTCATTTATTATTGGGAGAGAGAGATGACAGGCACCCAGTAATAAATGGGAAGCAGAATGGCAGGCGTGCCGGTTAAGGGGGTGTCTTCACAGTATATTTGAGAATCTTGCTCACTCTGCTCCCGCATCAGTTCACCTATCCCAGTGGCAAAGATAAATTCCTGCCTCCTGGACATGAATGAGACAGGAGCCAAGCAATAGATTCCCATCCCACTAACCTACCCCTACCCGCAAACACACACCACAGGCCCATTTGTAATGGATACCGCCCCTAACACCTGTAGGTGCCAGGATATTATTGTCAAATATATTATTATTATTATTATTATTATTAATATTTGCAATATAATCAGTGTAAAGAGATGGCCTGTGAACCCACAGAGGTTGACTATCTTTCATGTGCTTATTTCCCACAGAATTTCTTTTTCTGGGGGGGAAAAAAAATCTGTGTTAATGCTTTGTACCCATTTTTCTGTTGAGTTGTACCTTATTTTCTTACTGTTTTCTTTTATATTTTAAAGACTACTTCTTTGTTAGTTATAGGATTTACAAATGTTTTCTCCCAGTTTGCAACTTATCTTACCTTTCTTGTTTTCTCTGTCTTCTATCACTCCCTGGATGTATTTTGACTAATAGAAGTTGGTAATTGCAATGTAGTCATGTGTTTTAATCTTCAATTTTTATGGTCAGTGCTTTTTGTAACTTGCCTATTTATACCAAATATTCTAAAGAGATTTTATATTTTTTCTGACAAAATTTAAAGTTTTTCCTTCCACATTTAAGTCTCTCAACCACCTGACACTGATTTCTGTATATGGTTTGAAACAGGGATCCAACTTAATTTTTGCCATGTGGATAACATGTTGTCTTGGTAACATTTATTGAATTGCTTGTCCCTGGCCACTAACATGCAATACTATCGCTGTCATATATCACTTTTTATATATGCACAGGTTTAGTTCTAGCTTCTCTGTTCTCTTACATTGAGCTAGTTGCCCCACCCCTGTTCTAATTATAATCTTTTATAACGAGTGTTTATATCACCCACTCTTATATATTCATTGGTTCTCGGCTCAAATATCACTTCCTCAGAGATGCTTGCTCTTGGCCCCAATTTAAGTAGATGTATACATTACATTCTAGTCATAGCTTTTACTTCAGTTTATAATTATACATCTTGAAGATTCAATCAATAAAGGACTGATTCTCATATTTGACTGGAAATTCTACTGAGGTCAGAAAGCTGGCTTCCCCAGGGTTTAGCACAGGGACTGTCCTGAATGAATAGATTCATCTCTGCCCTGCAGCAGTTAGCACACTGCCGGTGGTAGATGCTCCATAAATACTAAAGGACGGAACAGTCCTTTCCATCAGAGCCCTATGCTGCTTCCTTGATTAATTTGGCTCCTTAAGACTTTCCACCACATCTTATACATACCTTACCTACTTGTTCACTGCCTTTCTCCACTATACTGGCAGCTCCAAGAGGCCAAGACTTGCTTTGTCTGTTTCAACTCCTGCCGTACCCCAGGTAGAATAGTGTCTGGCAACTGGTAGATGCTCAATAAATATTTATTGCATGAATGAAAGAATGAACATTTTCTTTTAATCAATCAAAAGTATATTTGCATTTGGAATTAAAAGTCACCTCTCCTTTTCCTGTGGCTTTCTTAGTAGTTTGCCTCTTCCCTCCATTCTCCCTTCTCATTTCCCCTGCACAGTCCTCCATGTTAACAAAGAGGCAGACAGCACATTCTCCTTTTCAATCTTATAGCAAAATAAAAGGCTTATTGGACTTATCTGGACTCCCAGTAATTTTGACAGGGCAGAGAGTCCCTCCTTCCTCAGCACTCCTACACACACTTTTTATATGAGTCCCTCACTTGCTCTCCTACTGCCTGGAGTTTAGCTTAACTTCTCCTAATCCACTGCAATTTACCATGAGGACCTCTCACCCTCGAAAAGCCCAGCTTGGTAATAGGGCCTGGCAAAGAACAAGCCTTCCACAAGTGCTTGTTGAAAATAAGAAAGAAGGAACATCTGTTGTCCCGGTTGAAGAATGTAGACTCTGCCCCACAAGACAGCGTCTCCTGTGCAGTACCACGTCCCCTCACTGCTGAACTCCCCTGGCGGAACCGGCACCCTGACCAAGTTGATGTTTAATGAGCATTTGCTCTCTAAACAGTCCCCAGGCTGCTGTGGACTTTCACTTAGCTTTTTAACCTTGAAAAGTATTTATGTCCATTTTACCCTCAAATGACCACCTCTTATGTGCTAGCTGTGTAGCCTAAATTGTGCTATAGAGAATGGCTCCCGAAGTCTACCCAAGTCTACCCAAGACTGTGAATGCTACCTTGTGCGGCAAAAGGGACTTTGTAGCTGGGGTTAAGTTAAAGTGTTTGAGATGGGAATGCTATCTTGGATGGTCTGGTGGGTCCAACATCACAATATCCCTTATAAGAGGGATGCAGGAGGAGACAGAGAAGAAGGCAATGTGGTGACAGAAGCAGTAATTGGAGCCTTGAACTTTGAAGATGAAGGAAGGGGCTGCAAGCCAAGGAATGCCAGCGGCCACCAGAAGCTGAACAAGGCAAAGAAAAAGATTTCCCCTCAGAGCCTTTGGAAAGAGCCAGTCCCTTGTTAGCTCAGTGAAACTCATCTTATACTTCCGGCTTCCAGAACTGGAACAGAATAAAATTTTAAAGCCAATTCATGTGGGCTAACTTGTTACGGCAGCGATGGGAAACTATTGTAATACACTAAGTGAATGACTGTTTTTGTCTCTTAGGGCTTATTTGTTTTTACTTGGGATTTAAAACAAAAACAAAAACACGTATTTCTTGTGATTGGGACCGGAGGAGCCAGGAGAAGCCAGGAGAAGCCCTGCCCTCTGGTTCTTCTGCTCTGTGGCTGTAATAATGGGTCTCTTTTCTCATGTAAACAGCCTCCCTCAGTAGCCTCTTCTGCCTGACCACATCTTCAGCTTGTTATCTCTGCCAGGCCACACAAGTGGCCACCCACTGCATCCCTTCCTGTTCATCCTGGCTCTGGCCTGTCCTTTGTGTAATGTGCAAAAATGTCATCCTGAGAAAAGTGCCAGGGCCAGCATGACAGGTGAATTGGGCTGAGGTAGGGAGGTGGGAATTAAGAAAAGAAGGACAAGCCAGGGCCAGTTTGGCTCAGTGGATGGAGCGTCGGTCTGCAGACTGGGGGATCCCGGGTTCGATTCTGGTCAAGGGCATGTACCTTGGTTGCAGGCACATCCTCAGTGAGGGGTGTGCAGGAGGCAGCTGGTCGATGGTTCTCTCTCATCGATGTTTCTAACTCTCTATCCCTCTATATTCCCCTCTGTAAAAAACCAATAAAATATATATTTTTTTAAAAAGAGAGAGAAAAGAAAAGAAAGACAAGAAAGCAGATCGGGAGGACTGCAAGCCATTGACAGACTGCAGCAGCTTTATTAACTGCAAATGCCTTTTATACATAAACACTGAATAGGAGGTCAGTCAAGAGGAATGCACTCTTTGTTCCTCTTAATCTCTAAGGGAGAGATAGAGCAGGAAGGCAAATTCTTGGTACAGCAAATCTCAGTAAATAGTTGCAGACTTCTTGGTAAGCCATGAAAGGTTGCTCTCATTCTACTGAAAATTGGAAATTGCCATCCAAACAAGTCTGGGAACACTGTGTGGATAAAGGACTGAATCTTATCAGTCCCTTTGGGTGCAAGGACTCTGTCAGCTTACACCCAGTCTCAAGGATGTCAGCAGGTAAATCTAGTTGACTTGAGTGAGCTTTTGAGACAACACTGATGGAGCGCCTCACCCACTCCAAGCACCCGACACCATGACCAGTGTGAACTATTTCTTGAATCAGAGTTCCCTTGGTTTTCCTCTTCAAGGATTTTAAATTAAAGTATGTCGATACCACCTGGTCAGGATCCCAACCTTCCCCCGTACCTCTCACCTCCCACCCCCAGCACTGCAGATGGTCATAAAGCAAAGGTAACACTTTGCTTTCTGGAATGTCTTCAACCTCAATTTGGGTAGCAGAAACAAGGCACGGAAAACCTTGCCCGCTCCTGGCAATGGGAGGCTTACCTGGACCTGATGGAGTAAGACAGTATAAAGGCAAGAGGCTTGAGACACTGAGAATGACCCAGAATTTACCAGAAATTGTGTTTGAGAAAAGTCAGAAGAATAGTTTGTAGAGTCCTATTCCACCATTATTCCCACACCCATACCCTGGGGTTCCTTCCTGAGCAGCTGTGTCTGCAGAGCTGTGCCCACTGGTGTAGCTCCCTATCAATATTTACTAGCAGTTACTTCAACTCTTCCCAGACAGCATCTGTTACGGCAGGGGCTGGGGTACAGCCTCCAGAACGTCGTAAATGTAAGTCCACACTGGGGCTGTGGAGACAACAGGAAGTAAAGGGGGGCAGCGCATGCAGTTTGCAGGGGAATGGCTGCCAGGCTGGTGGTGGGAGCTCAGACCTGCGACAGGAGGAAGGCCAGCCTCCAGGAAGGGGAGAAGGGGAAAACGTCCAACAGAAAGACATGAAGGAAGCTGGTCCCCCTCTTACTTGAACACAACCCCGGAATTTGGTTGTTCACTAACTTGCCCAGCCTCTGGTTCTTTGTCTCTTATAGGGACAAAAGCAGAAGGTTTTCTTTGGTGGAGACAATTAGTGTCTGTTTTTTAAATTATGAACAAGTTAAGATAGAGCAAACTGGACTAATGTCTCCATTCTAAGAGTAATTATAGAAGCTTCATTTTCATAGAACTGTTGAGTTTACCAAACATTTCCCATAAAGGAACATATCCTTCTGAAAGTGTCGTTGTCCTTTTTCAACCACTTTATTTTGGAGAAAGAATCTCAGAGAGAGTCCACACCTTGTTTGTGATCACGTGGCTTGAAAATAGCAAAGCTGGGGCAGAAGCCCACGTTTCTGAATTCAGCCTCATGTTCTTCCCCTAAACTCCGGCACGCTGTGCTACACTCAGTGCATAAAAACAAACAAGCAAGCGAGCAAACAAAGAAAAACCCATTTTATTTGTCATGTCACACAGCTTAAGAATTCCTGATTTCAGATTTAAAGAAGCGCTCCATTTTTTCAGCTGGCGAAGCTGGAGCTAAGAGATGCCTTTGGAGGAAGGTCTGTGATTAAGTCATTTGTGTTGCTTGGAGCAAAGGGACAATGACCACAGCCCACAGATGGGTTTTTTAATGTGTCAACTTGGTTAGGCTGCAGCCTCCGGTTACTCAGTCAAACATGAGGGAGATGTTGTGGGAAGGGATTTTGCAGAGGTGAGGAAGATCCCTAATCAGGTGACTATGGAAGGAAGGGCATCCAGGCCTCTCTGGGTGGGCCTGACTTCTTTAGTTAGAAAGGCCTTAAACACAGAGCTGAGGCTTCGCCAGAGGAGAGGAGACATTCCACCCGTGGAGAACGGCCTCAGCCATACCTGTGAAGGCTTCCCTTATGACTGCCCTCTGGACTGACCGGCTTAGTCAGCCCCACAGCCATGTAAGCCAGTCCCTGGTGTATTAGCTTGCCAGACCTGCCGCAGCAAAACATCACAAACTGGTGTCTTAGAAAAAATGGAAATTTATTGCGTCACAGTTCTGGAGACTAGAAGTCTGAGAGAAAGGTGCTAGAAGGGTTGGTTCCTTCCGAGGGCTGTGAGAGAGAAGCTGTTCCATGCCTCTCCCGTAGCTTCTGGTGGTTCGCTGGCAAGCTTTGTTGTTCCTTGGCTTAAAGACACTGCATCACCCCAGTCTCTGCCTTCATGTCCATGTGATGTTCTCCCTGTGTGCGTGTGTCTCTCTCTGCATCCAGATTGCCCCTTTTTTGAGGACACCAGTCATGTTAGATTGGGGTCCCCACTCATGACCTCATTTTAACTTGATTACCTCTCTGAAAACTCTTTCTCCAAATAAGGGCACCTTCTTGGGTCCTGGAGGTTAGGACTCCCACATGCCATTCCCCTGATTGTACCCTGGCTGATATCCTCTGTGTGTATCCTTGGTCACATTCCTCTAAACAGCTTACCAGGCCCTAACCAGTTTCTTTTCTTTTCTTTTTTTTTTTCTTTTCTTTTTTTTAAAATATATTTTATTGATTTTTTACAGAGAGAAAGGGAGAGAGATAGAGAGCTAGAAACGTCAATGAGAGAGAAACATCGACCAGTTGCCTCTTGCACACCCTTGGATGTGCCCGCAACCAAGGTACATACCCTTGACCGGAATCGAACCCGGGACCTTTCAGTCCGCAGACCGACGCTCTACCACTGAGCCAAACCAGTTTCGGCCCTAACCAGTTTCTAAGTGGTTAGAGTATCTTGGATCTTGAGTTTGATTCCCAGTCAAGGGCACATACCTCGGTTTCAGATTTAATCCTGGCTCTGGTCGAGGCACAAGCGGGAGGCAGCCAATCAATGTGTCTCTTTCACATCAGTGTTTCTCTCTCTTTCTCCCCCCATCCTTCTATCCCTTTCTTTCCACACTCTCTAAAAATCAATGGGAAAAAAATATCCTCACTCCTCCACTGAGGATTAAAGAAAACACACAAAAACCCAGCTTACCGGAAGCATTGTCTTCTTCAGGAAGGACATTCCATGTCTCCAGAAGCATCGACTCATCCTCTGATCCGGAGATGTTTAAATCTGGGGTTAAGCATAATATAATGCTCAGATCACACAAGCCAACTGGTGCTTGGGGCTCAGCAGAATATTATTATTGTTAAGAGTCCTGGGGCATCTCCGTTAGCTGAACTCTGTGGGTATTTTAACTAAAAGGTGTAGTATCTCAACTGTAACCTGGCTTTGCTATAAGTTGCTGCTTACCCCCTAACAAGAATGAACAACTTGAGAAGTTGGATGAAGTGCTCATGGGTGTGAGAGCTTGGAAGGAAACTGTGTAATTCAGGTGTCTAGGGACTGGGGGTGGTGAAGACATTTCACATTTTGGAGACCCTGTTACATGTCACACACCTGCTCTTGGCCAAGCATACCTTATCTGATTTAATCATCACTACATTCTTACTAGGCAGGTGTTAGTCACCTGTTGTAAGGTTGAAGTAAATGAGCCTTAGATGACTCTGAGGTCACATATCTGATAAGCATAGGCCAAGATTCAGATATGCAGTTGATTCTCATCTTTTGAGAATTCTGTATTTGCAAATTTACCTACTCACTAACATTTATTTGTGACTCAAAACCAGTACTCATGGTATTTCCATGGTCATTCATGGTCATTTGTGGAGAATTTGAGTCACTTGAGCAGGTGTCCCTTACTGAGGTCTAAGGAGACTCTCACTCTGCCTTCTTGTTTCAGCTCTCATACTGTCAGTAAGTGCTCTTGCCATGGTCTCTTTAGTGCCACGTTTTGTTGTGTGGGGGGGTGTGTTTGTTCTTGTTGCATTTGTGTGTGTTTTGTTGACGATTTTGCTGTTTAAATGGCCCTGAGCTTTGTGCTGAAGTGCCATTTGGTGTTCCTAAGTGCAAGGAGGCTGTACTGCCATTGAAGATGCATGTGATAGATAAGCTTTGTTCAGGTTTGAGTTACAGGGTATTGGCTGTGAGTTCAGCGTTAGTGAATCAACAATATATATGAAATAAGGTGACGTTCAACAGAAATAGACATCAAACCAGAGGCTCAGAGGAGCCTAACTTTATATCTCCCATAGGAACACTGGTTCAGTACTCACTAATTTTAGCATTTGTAGCGATTTTCTAGAACAGAACAGCTGCAAATGATGAGACTTGATTAACACGTTATGAGGATGAAAATTCGGATCTGTTGCCTTTCCTTCTTACCTGCTTCAGGGATGAAGGAGACTGTAGCCTGAAAGCCTCTGAAGGTCACATTTTCATCCGACTGGAAGCTGATGAGCATCACACCAGAGGAGCTCAGCAGAGGGGCGGGGGCAGCAAAGCCACACAACCGAGCTGGGTCAGGCGAGACACGGTCAAGGGCCAGCATTAAAGAAAAAAAGAATTGTCCTTTAGGTAACTGTTAGGAAATAAGCTTTCCTGGTGGATGTCACTAGTTGGCTTCTTTTTAATATGTTTTTAATCTCATCAACATTTCTATTCTGTTTCTCTCTCAAACACTCCTATTTCTATAGTGAACTATTTCCCTTTTGACCCCTTGCTCATGTGGGCTCTCCTGCATTTCTGTTCAAATGGTTCTGTGATTCTCCCTCTTGCTTTTCCTGCCCCTGATGTAGGAGAAGAGGAAGTGGTGATGGTGAGAGTGGAGAGAGGGATGGGGGAGAATGAGGGACTCAATGGTCCCTTTATTCCCCAGAAGGACTGGGTCCAAACACAAACCAGGGCAGCTGAGCTCCAGGAACACACACCTATTTCCTTCTTCCTTTCTACATCCCAGTGCACTGTCACGTAATCGGAAGTGCAGTCTCCACTCTCTTCTATTTCCAGATTCTGAAAGGAAAGCTGAGAAGACTCAACATTACATCCAGAGTGAATAATAGGGGCGGATTACCTGATTTTGATTAGGTAGAGAAGTTAGGATTGTATAACTTGCTCTGGAGTTCGACCTTAGACGAGAAAGTTGGTGGAATGTTTATGAGCGGGTCAAGTTACTTAGGAAAAGATGCTATCCCATTGCTCCCAAACTTACTGAAACATCTAAGCGACCAAATATAATTCAAATGTAAGGGTGGGGAAATATGCAAATATTTAAGCTCCTTTCCAAGGAGGAGCAAAGAACAATATTTGAGCAGTTTGAAAGCACTGGCCAGTGGAGTGTGAAGAGAAGAGCAGCAGGATAAGGGGCTGATGAAGCAGGAGTTCACATTTTAAACATACAGATGACAGGGTTCAATGGAGCCTGCACACTCAGCCGGAGACACAGGACTGCATGGATAGGACAAAAGTGGAGGTCGTTAGTGGTGAATGTAGGCATGGGAAGAAGGAGCCGAGTCAGACACAGGATTCATTCAAACATTTCTTAAACATCCCTTAGTGGGATGCTTTCTGGAAGTAAATCCTTTTCTCTCTGAGTCATGGCAAGCACACAGTTATGACTGGCAATGCTAATTTCAAAATTACTATCTTGCCTGAGACCTTGGATGATCCTGTCACCAGAGGTGTGAGAGCCTCATTTCACAGATGCTCGGCACTCCGTAGACATTTAATGAATAGATTTTTTTACTCCTAGCTCTGGCACATTCAGATTTTCAACTAAATATGTCTTCATCCTCCTTCTAGAGAATGCTCATTCTTTAACCTTTTTCCTCCATCACTAATAACATGTCTCCCCTTAATATTTCTTCCTCCTGAAACACCTGCCCTGCCTGTGTTGGGGTTTCAGGAACTTGTAGGAAAAGAGCTGGGCTCACCTCCTCTGTGTCTTCTCCTCCCACTCTTTGGTAAGGCCTGTGTGATCTTGTTTCTGCTCCCAAGATTGGACTTACCCTGATATTTCTGACAGGCTTCCTTCTCTCTGTTCTTCAGTTCTCCAGTCCAGTTATTCTTCCTTTTTATTGGGGTGGGGGGTGAGATGGGGACTGGACAGTGAGTACTCAGCCCTCCTTCCCTTTAAATTCTGAGATTGTGTAGTAAATTCAAAGTGTTGGCCACACCATTTTGTTTGTTTATTTTGTTTCATGTTCTAAGTTAAAGGCTCCTTTCTCTAGACCAGGTGTCGGCAACCTGCGGCTCCGGAGCCGCATGCGGCTCTTTTTGTTAAGTAAAAAAATCCTTTTTCTGCACGATCCGGTATATAGCATTAAGGTAAGAAACAATATATGCAGTGTTATATTTGTTTTAAATGTCGCAATGGTTTTGCGGCTCCCAGGTTTTTTTTTTTCCTTCAAAAACAGGTCCAAGTGGCTCTTTATGTCTTAAAGGTTGCCAACCCCTGCTCTAGACTGTTATAACATCACACCAATTTGGTTCTCCTGGGTTTCAGATCACGTTTTACCTCTTGAACATCTGAGAACTTGGTGGTGTTATTCACCCTATTCTTCCCCTTTTCTTTTATTTTTTTTTTTTTTAATTTTTTTATTGATTTCAGAGAGGAAGGGGGAGGAAGAGAGAGATGGAATCCTCAACGATGAGAGAGAATCACCGATCAGCTGCCTCCTGCATGCGCCCCACCAGGGATCCAGTCCACAACCCAGGCATGTGCCCTGACCAAACCCAGGACCCCTTAGTCCACAGGCTGACACTCCATCCCCTGAGCCAAACCACCAGGGCCCCCCTTTATTTTCTACTCTACTTTCTCAACTTCATATTATCTTGCTTTCAATTATAATTTTAAGAGAAATACTTCTAAATAAGTGCCTAGTTCCACCTCACTGTGAATGCATTCTCACTTTCAACTACCCAGAGGCATGTCTGTGCAAATGGCTCGCTAGTGTTTACAAACACTAGTGGGCACAAACACCATTAATCAAGTCCTGAGTAAGCTCTGTATCCTGGCATTCGAGGCTCTCCATTCATTAACCTGAGCCTCACCTCCCAGTACCCCTTCCAGTACATGTCATGACGCTCACACCAGCGCACCTGTATCTGCTCTATGCTGGTTCCTCTGTGCTTGCCCTGTCCCCTCTGCACAAGAGCGGATGATTTGGGCCTCACTGTCATCGACTTTTGTTAGCCATCACTTACAGAGTGTTTCTAGAAGGGACCAGGGAATGATGAAACAATTTACCAGGTACAAAGACTTAAGGCAGCACTTCCAACAAAAATAAAGTGTGCAGTTGCCATCTGGTGGTGAGTGTGGGTAGTTAAAGGGAGAAATAGGCTGGTTTGTTACAAGTATGTTGAGAGCCTTGTATGCCAGATACTAAGGACTAGGGACTAGGGTTATAGCAGTGAATAGATCAGATAAAAAGCTTCCCTGTGGTACTTCAGTTAGCTATTCTGTGGAGATGCCATAGCAAAGGAAGGGGAGCCAGAGTCTGTACCTTAATTAGGTAGTGTTTGGGGGCTTGAAACACCCAGTTACAGTTGGCCATGTCATTGTAATCTTCCGGATAATGAAGACTCTGTATGAGGCCTTCCTCAAAGAGGACAGTCAAGGAACTGCAACCGGACTCTGAAACACAAGGGAAAGCATGCCAACAGTGCATCAGCCAAGCACAGAGGAACCCCTTTGTGTTTCCTCTTGTCTTCCAGGAATGATGCATGACCCAAATCTTCAGGCAGAGCCAGCATGAAGAGGTTCGTGCACTGATTTTCCAGAACTCACTGGGCACGCTCAGCTCACTTAGGTGTGCAATAGGAGCGCTGTGCCTGGCGTCTCACAGGCCTGTGCTCCTCTCTGCCTTGGAGCCAAGGGGGCCTTGGGAGGGGGCTCCCTGCCCCTCACCCCATTCCCATGGGGCCTCAACTTTGACAAAAGGCCTGGATAGTGTGTGATAAAAGGAAAATGGTTTTACCGGGAAGGTAGTTTGGTTGACGAGCTTGGTAGGTGACATTAAAACCAACGGCATAATCTGTGGCATCAGAGACGAACTTCAGCCTCAGAGAGTTGGAGGCAACAAGAACTGATGAAGCGAGGCTTTCTCCACAGAATTTACCTGCGACGTAAGAAGAGTCTTTGTTCACTGTCTAGAAAACAGCACCCTTCAAAGACTAAAGGAGACCTGAACTTGTCACGATAGTTCAGGATCCTCTAGCCCAGGGTTTCTCAACCTTGGCACTACTGACATTTTGAACTGGAACGTTCTTTGTGTTCAGGCTCCTGTGCACTGTAGGGTGTTTTGCACATTCCTGGCCTCTGACCTCTGGATAACCGTCCTTCTCCCTCCAACTGTGACTCCAAAAAGGTTCCTAAGACACTGCCAGCGGTCTCCTGGGAGGCAAAATCGCCTCCAGTTAAGAACCACAGAAATGCCCCTTCATGTCTGTGTTTTATATAAGCAACTTTTTCTCCTACTGTGAGTATCCGTTTTTACTTTCAGCTGGATGAGACAGGGAAAGACCGTTTTCATGCCTAGAAAAGCCATTGGGAGGCAGAGGCCCTGCAGGGTGCCTGCATTTTCCTCCTGATGGGCTCGGGGTCTGAAATGAGCGTCAGAAGCCTGGTTCCATGGGAAGCCCATGCAGCGAGTAAAATGCACTGTGGCCTCCCAGCCCTCACACTGGCCCAGGTTTAGTTCTTTTCTTCCACCCATCCTGAGTCTCAAAAGTTGGAGACAGGAAATGTGGTGGGCACAGATGGCTCAGTGCTAGACATACTGTGTGGAGGCCCCATGAAGCCCTCCGAGCACGAGTGTCCATTTGACAACGTGGCAATCCACTCACCCAGAAGTCTGTCTTCTAAAGAGTGCATGGACAGGTAATTGTGGTCACAAGACTCTGCATCCAAGCGGGAAAAGCTGAGTAACACATGCATGTCCTCGGGTACCAACAGGGTCCAGATGCACAGTCTGCAGGCAGATACGTTGGGAGGGTGTTATTTCTAGACAGAAAGTGGCTGTCCCTGCTACTGGGCACAGTCAGACCGGAGGTAAGAGTGGCAGAGGAGGCTACTCACTGCTTGCTGTCATAATAGAGGTCAGGGCTTTCTGGGAAGTGTAGTTCCCCCTCCAACTCCCTGACCACACGATCCTTCTCCCTGCATGCACCTGGGATGGAAGCCACAGAATCAGGCTAACAACCACGGCTAGTCACAGCGGTCCTCACTTTCCAGGACCCAGATGGATGCTGGGATCTCTTGGTTCTTTGTTATGCATGCTTTTTTTTTTCACGAAACCTTTTCTTGCCTTGGTTCTAGATGCCATTTGTTTGTTTGTTTGTTTGTTTGTTTGTTTTTGTGCCTTTTAGGTCCTGCTTAACCTTGAGATTCTGTGGTTATTTTTCCCTTCCCTCTCCTTTCTCTGACCCCATACTTCATTCTATAAATACAGGTAGTTCCAGGTTCTGTCATTAATTTTTATCCCTCTCTGCCTGGGTCCTCTGACCAGCCTCATTCATAGCCTCAGTTTCAACTATGGTCTCTACATTTCTAAACTTTAGACCTGATCTTTCAATCATCTCCTAGGTATTGCCCCTGAAACTTAACATGCTACAAATGAAATGTCGCTGGTTATGCAAGAGTGCTTCCACTTCAGCTTTGATTATTTTTATCTGCCCCTTTCTTAGTCTGTCATGTCTTAAACTTCGGTAGTGTCCTTGATTCCCCCCTCTCAACCTTTCCTCTAAGTGACCAACAAGTCCTAATTCTTCTTGTGTCTGTCTCCTCCTCTCATCCTCTGGCCCTTGCCCTAGGTCAAGCCTGTATTTCTTGTCTCTTGAACTAATGTATAATCTCATAAATCCACCTTGAATTGTTTTCCCCTCTGACCTATACACTGAGTGGCCAGATTATTATGATCTCTGAATGCAGAATAATCTGGCCACTCAGTGTATATCCAAAGGCTAATATGCAAATTGTCCCCTCAACCAGGAGTTCGACTAGCAGGCAGGCCAACCAACTTGCCTATGTCCCCTCTCCCTGGCCAGGCTGGCCGGATCCCAACCATGCACAAATTTATGCACTAGACCTCTAATACACACACACACACACACACACACACACACACACACTGACACACTGAGTGGCCAGATTATTATGCGTTCAGAGATCATAATAATCTGGCCACTCAGTGTATATTCCCTATGTGCAGCTCTTATACCACTGAAGTATAACTTTAATCTATTTAATCAACTTCCCATTTTGACTGGCATTCAAATTTCTGTAATGTGGTCTCACATTATCTTTCTATCTCCCTCATTAAACTATCACCTATCCTGCATTTCAGCTGCTTTGAGATGACTGGTCTCTATTACAACCTGCGATTTCCAATCTCCATCCTTTAGTACCGATCCATCCAGGATGACAGCTGGAATATGTTTCTTTACCTTTATCCTATTGCCACCTGATTTTTTTTTCCTGCTAGAAGAGCCACTTACTCCTCTGAGCTCTCAGGGTACTCTTCCTCACACTGCTCTTTGTAGGTAGTTCCACAGACTCACAGAACCACCGGAGATTTGAGCTCAAGATGCCTTAGAAACCATCTGGTCCAAACTCTTCTTTATGAATGAAGAAACTAAGGCCAGAGGTAGAAAGGAGCTTCCCCAGATCACAGAGTGAATTCATTGCAGTCTTGCGACGTCACACTGGGGTGAGTCCCCTGGATTAGTAAGGGCACTTTCAGGGCAAGGTGTGTAGCTCCTTGACCGCATCTGCACCACCTTACCCTCCTCCCTCAAGTCTCTGATGCAAAGCAAGGATCTGGCAAATGCTTGCTGAATTGAGAGGGAGCTCAGGATGGGAAATGGGAGGGAATCTGGGGCTCCAGCTGGGTGAAGAACTGCCCTGACCGGCAGGGAGTGTCTCTGGGTTTTCCAAGTGGTGGCTCTGTAACTAGTGAGTGAGGACAGCTCTTATAAAGGAAGACGTTTGATTATAAAGGGAACTGACGTATATCTGCTTCTGGGGGAGTGGACTGGAGAAATACCCACCTCTGGAGCTCTTTCTCTGTTTCCCTGGGGAAGAAAAAGAAAGATGCAATTCAAAGTTTGTGATATCCTAAACAGTATTTCAAGAAGTTAGCAACTCCTTGGCTTAAAAGTGCAGAGATTTTTTCAAGTCAATATGCAACTAATGAGAATCTAATCTATGGCAAGAACAGAGGGACAAGTTGACAAAGCAGAAAGTGGCCTTTTTTGTTTTAAGGAGATGATGTCACTCTGTTTATTAAGTAGGGGAATTAAGAGACAGGCCACGATTAGCTTGGAGGTTACACAGAGCTAGAAGAGGTCATCTGGACCACCCCTCTGGTTTTACAGGAGAAGGGAAGCTCAAGATGGAATAACTCACCACATCCACAAGAGCATTGTTGGGATAACTATTGCTTGAACTATGGGTGCAGGTACCAGTTAAGAAAACAATTAAGGTTGATTTGGAGGCAGAAATGAAGTTTCAGTTAACTCTCTGGTCAGACTAGTAGAAGGTATATGTAGACCCAGGCTTTTTCAGACTTACTGTACCTAGATCTGTATAAGGCAGTGGTTCTCAACCTTCCTAATGCCACGATCCTTTACTACAGTTCCTCATGTTGTGGTGACCCCCAACCATAAAATTATTTTTGTTGCTACTTCATCACTGTAATTTTGCTACTGTTATGAATCATAATGTAAATATCTGTGTTTTCCAATGGTCTTAGGTGATCCCTGTGAAAGGGTCATTCAACCCCCAAAAAGGTCGAGACCCACAGGTTGAGAACCGCTGGTATAAGGCCTTCTCAACCAGGGCATTGCTAACATTTGGGGCTGCATCATTTTTTTTCTGCGGGGCCTGTCTGTGCATTGTAGGAGGCTTAGCATCCATGGCCTCTATCCACTAGAAGCTAATGTCACTCCCTCCCATTCCCCTAGTGCAGTGGTCGGCAAACTGCGGCTCACGAGCCACATGCAGCTCTTTGGCCTGTTGAGTTTCTAGCAAAGGTCAGCTTAGGAGTACACTAAGTTAATAACAATGTGCCTATCTATATAGTTTAAAAAATTTGGCTCTCAAAAGAAATTTCAATCGTTGTGCTATTGATATTTGGCTCTGTTGACTAATGAGTTTGCCCACCACTGCCCTGTGTGACAACCAAAAAATATCTCCAGACATTGTCCCCTGTGCTCGATGACCACTGGTCTTTACAATTGCATGCTGAATCTTGCTAGCACAGTTGAGAAGTGGTGAATACACATCACCAGCTGACATAGTTTAAATTAAAGACAAATTTGAAAAGGCTAGGATGGATGCATTCATTTTTCATTGACTGTGTGCTTTACCACACACCATGCTTTCTTCTTGTTTTAGCCTTAGGAAATTCCGCAGTCCTGATGTGTTGCCCTGAGAACAGGAGCAGAGCCTGGCTGCGCAGTGGCCCTGACTTGCCTCGTCTCTGCTGAGGCCCTCTCTGGCCCTAGCTTCTTGACCTTAGGTACCAGCTGTATTACCAATGTGGATGTGTTTGCGGATCCAGGGAAGCACTTTACTAAGATCTGTGAAGATCCCAGGGGATCCTTGATCATCTTTTTGCACATTGTTTCTCCAGCCTCGACCACAGCCAGAACCCCAGGAAGTCACACCAGCAAGAGTCCAAGTCCCTTTCTTATTCCGGCACATGAGGGAACCTCCTGAATCTCCCTGGAGGGGGAAAAGCCTCTGTTACCATCACGATAAGTGACTGTGCCCCACAATGCTCACCCTTTCCCTCCATGAAGATGCTAGATAAGCACCAATGACATTTCTTCACTTCTCGGGCCTGGTAGAACAGGCAAGCGTAGTTCACAGTAGACCCTTGGGTATCATCAGAGCCTATCAGCTCCACCTCCTTCTCTGCATCCTAGGCTTTCATCACACAATCAGTGTCTTCCTGTTCCCATCTCGTCTTGCAGGCTCAAAGAAGTCTTGCCCAATAGTAAAAATGACCTCAGGTCTTGCCCAGCAGGAGGGATGGAAGGAAAGGAAAGTTCCTGTTATACATGAACCTGAAACTTATAGATAGGAAAGAGCCAGCCATTCTTCAGAGGTGGAGAACCCTGAGCTCATTATTGGCATTTTCTGTGACTCAGTCTTTTGGGAAAAGTGGAAGACCTCTTCTGCATTCTCACTCCCTGGTGTAAACAGTTCAAGCTGTCTCTTTATTTTGACTCAAACCTCTCCCGTCACTCTTGACTCTTCTTTTCAGAAGTCACTTCTTACAGCTGAGGGAAGCCCTGCCTGGGACCCATCAGCCCAGCTGTTCCCACCTACCTGACATGCATCTTTCCCTCCATCAAGAAAGCCCGTGCAGAGGAAGGTCTGCCCACTGATGGGTTTATTTAGGGTTAGCAGAGCTGCCACACACTCCTCCTGGGTCAAGATGGGCAGGTTCACTTCTTGCAAGACTTGCGGGAGGATGCCGCCTAGAACACACAGACACGAGAGCCCATGCAAGGCACTCTACTACCCTTTCTGAGTTGAAGGTGCCTTCCCCAGTCAGGTTTGTGTCTTTTGAAAAGGCCTGAACTTCTAAGTACATTTTTATATCCTCTTATTTTAAAACCTGTTTGCACAATTGTTTTCTTAAAAAAAAAAAAAAATAAGATTAACATTTGTATTTTTGGATTACCCAACAGAAAGTTCTGACATCTGGGTAAGGGCAGAGGCATAGAAGTTCTTACTTTCAGTCAGGCGGCCCCAGCCTGCAGTTGTGCAAATCAATCCAGCCTTAAATTGTTCTCCTGGCTCTGGAAGACACATGGGCCCCACAGATGGGCCTGAAAAAAGAGAAAGGCAGGGCATGGAGGAGAGGTCACCAGGTGCACTCACCCACTGGCATCTAGGTGGTCCCCCTAAGATCTTGTAAGAGTTGTGATATTTTTCCCTGACATTTCCAGGTGTCACCTGTCAGACAAAGCTAGACACTCTACATAATCCTATGTCTGAAGCTATAAGCAAAAGTGTTTCAGGTAGGGGACCCTCCACCCCCAACCCCTGTCTCTAAGTCCATGACCCAGAATTTCTGGGCATATTATGTACTATAAGGAATGTACTATAGAACAAGATTTATGGAGAACAGGGGATAGATAATTCAGGGTGAGCCTGAAATGTTTACCAAAATGGAAGGTGCCAGCCATCTTCAAAAGAGCAATGTCATAGTCCATTGGTTTTTTGATGGAGAATTGGGGGTGTATGATGATGCTTTCAATGGTGAGGGTTTGCTCTCCGGGCTCTTCATGGCTCAAATCATGTTTTCCAGCAGTAACATTCAAAGTCGAAGCACTATTTCTATTAAAGAGGAAGTAGTAGAATGAATTGATTTCATTGAGCCTCTGAATACAGTTGTAATGGTTGACAAACTGGCCTCTTCAAAATGGCATAGGTGGATAATGAGGGGTAGGAGGCTGCAGGACAGAGAAAGTGAGAATGATTCCCGCACTCTTGCTAAAAATGCAGAGGTTCTCAATTTGATTGGAGAATAGTAATGAATGGCCTCAGGAGTCAATGATGTAAGTGAGTGCTCTGCAATTTTATTTGTAAAATGTCTAAAGCTGTATATACTTTGTAATTCAGGGTTGTAAAGCTGTAGTGGACTTCATTTCGCTACCCTAGGTGGTTGGACTGGCCTCAGTATCAGCAAAGGACTTGTAAGCCCCACTAAGTATGTTGCTTTACTGTCAGAGAGCAAATGTAGAATGTATATTGTGAATGACATAACAGCACCATAATTCTGCTGTCCCAGAGAGCATGCACTCTCAGGACTTTGGACTGATTACACACAGTGGGAGGTGGGGATCTTCTCCCTACTTCCTTTACATTTAGAACTTAGAGACCTGGCATGGCATGAGAAAAACCATTCTATTTCCCTTCCTGAAGCAAAATTATCTGAAAGGAACGGGATGGGATGAATTGGGATGGATTAAGAGCTTTGGGTTTGCCATCTTTTGGATGGCAAACCCAAAGATATTATAAAAACCTGGGAAGGTCATACTTTTCTCTTGATATACTTTCCTGGCTCTTGGCTATATTAAGTACCCAACTTAACACATAGCAACTCCCTAACCTAGGCATCTGCCACATTAGAGGAATTATTAGGTGATTCTTCTTTAGACTGTCAACTCTCTGGGGGCAGGAATTATGTCTTACTCATCTTTGTATCTTTTATTAAAAAAGATATATTTTACTGATTTTTTTTACAGAGAGGAAGGGAGATGGATAGAAAGTTAGAAACATCGATGAAAGTGAAACATCAATCAGCTGCCTCTTGCACACCCCCTACTGGGGATGTGCCTGCAACCAGGGTACATGCCCTTGATCGGAATTGAACCTGGGACCTTTCAGTCCGCAGGCCAATGCTCTATCCACTGAGCCAAATGGGTTTCGGCTCATCTTTGCATCTTTGGTACCTACTAGCACCAAGTAAATATCCAGCAGATATTTGCAGATTTGAAATAGGGTAAATATGGGGACATGATCTTGATTGCAGTCTAATGAATACCAAGAACATTGGCAACAATAGAACATTTGAAACATACAGGAAAGTGGATTAAGGATGGAACTTGTTAGATTGAAGCTCATAGGGGCGGGATCAATATGAAAGATGTGAGAGCCATCTTTATGTTTTCCTGGCCTCTATTTGCTATTTTTTATATACTTCCTAAGACTCATAATGAACTGCATGATTTTTTTTCCCCACTGAAATTTAAGAAAACTAAGAAAGAACTTGCACAAATATATTTTTGTGATGCTTTTTCTCACTTGGATATTATACTTTATTAACATCCATTCATATTTAACTATTTCTGTAAGAGATTGTTTTTTACCAAGTTGAGTACCCTCTGACAAATCACTGAGCCCCATTTGTGTTATGCAATTAAGATGTTCTCTCACTATAGCATACATCACACAGTTCCTGTTTTAAAGTTATTGTTCTGATTCCCAGGGAAAAAGAGGTAATCTGACCCTTATACACGTGCTGGGCCTTCCCCTACCTGTTTGCAACGCAGTGAGCAGCCGTAATCACCCACTGTGGAGAGATGATGGTTCCACCACAGATATGTTTCTGCCTTCGTTTCAGAGACACCTGAATTGCAAAGACCTTAAATAAGCCAATAGTTCATGTAACTATTCTGGACATACCTTTTCTGCAATATAACTGGTCTACAGCATGAGGGACTTGAACCCCTGTACACACACTCATGGGATCTCTGATGCCGAGCTAGGCCAAAGGAGTACATTAGTGAGTAGCAGGTGATTTTGAAGTATCAAATCCCAAAACAGCTCATAATCTACCCACCAGGGAATGTTCTCAGAGACTCACCTGCCATGGGTAAGAGCCCTTTACCACTTGGCTTCCCCCAACAATGCGACTAAAATCATTCAAGTAATTCCAGGGCTGTGCCTTCACTAGACTCTGCCCACAAGAGGGAGCTGGAGAAATGAAAAGACAAAAATAAATAAATAAATAAATAAATAAATAAATAAATAGATAGCTTCTGGGATTGAGGGACACAGTGAAGTCTTATGAGCAAGAAAAACTGTAGGCCCTGGATCATGTAGAAAGGGTGGGGAACCTTTGTTTGGCCAAGGACCATTTGGATATTTATAACATCATTTCTGGGCCATGCAAAACTATAAACATAAAAATTAGACTGATGTGTGTGGTCAAACATTTATTAACTCAGCCCTAATGCCTTGGCAGGGTCAGACCAAATGATTTTGCAGGCCTTATTCAGACCACGGGCCTGAAAGTCCCCACCTCTGCCTTAGAAGCTCCTTGCAGTACTCTGTACTTCTGTGACATTAATTACATACATTATGGTTATTTCTGACCTTAAAATTATATATATATTTTAAAAGGAAGGGAAGGGAGAGAGATAGAAACACCAATTATGAGAGAGAATCATTGATCGGCTGCCTCCTGCAGGCCTCCCTGCTGGGGATCAAGCCTGCAACCTGGGCATGTGCCCTGGCCAGGAATTGAATCCTGACCTCCTGGTTCATAGGGCAGTGCTCAACCACTGAGCCACTCTGGCTGAGCTGGTTATGTCTGACTTTCAAGCTAACTAGACAGTGAGCTCCTCAAAGATATGAACTTAATCTTAGAGATACCTATATCCAACAATATCTAGCTCAGTTCCTGATACCTAGAAGTTGCTTAGTTAACTCCTTCACTAGGTGGATGATGCCATAGTCTGGCTTAGGTTGTAATTGTGTGTTCACCTTTTACTCCCTCGCAGGAGACTGAGTCTGAGACCATGGTGTGTGGTACCTGATTACACAGTTCGATAATAGATTTAATTCTTTCTGAGGGTAGAAAGTACCAGATTGTTCAAGGAGAGTGGAGAGAAGACTGTCCTGATTCACACGCCAGACTGGTGTTAGGATAGAAGCGTTGCCAGATAATGGAAGAAATAACGCTTTTGTCATTATGGAAAATATTTTGTCCCTGAAAACATTGCATTTACTTATTATCCTCAATATTTCTTGACTTGTCAGGTAAGAGAGGTATTAGATTAAAGATGTTTGCAGCTGCCAGGGATGGCAGATCATTCTTTTCTACATTTTCTAGGATGGCCTGGAAAGCCCTGCATCACAATCCCCACACTTCTTTGGCTACCTGAGTCCTCTAATTCTTATTCTTCAGCCTGGAGGTCACCTCAACTGAGAAGTCTTCATTGATTTCCTCGAGATGTGTTTTAAGTGTCTCTCTTCTTTAGTGTGTAGTACTCTTTTCTTTCCCCTTTTATAGTTTTGCCAAACAACCTTGTGATAGTGAATTGTTTGTCTGTCTCCCTCATTGGAGTCTGAACTACTCGAGAGAAAAAACAACACACTCTGTGTCTTTATTCATCTCTGCATTTCCAATATTTAGCACAATTCCTAGCACAGAGGAGACACTTAGAAAAGTTGGGTAGGTGAACATACGGTTTTCCTTGAGAACGTATCCTTCACAGCTATTTAGGTTAATATGTTAAAATATACAAAGCTCATTCAAATAACTTCTCATTTAACCCTCCATGTATGCCTATGAATTAAGCACTGCTACCCTTTTTAGAGATGGGAAAACAAAGAACCAAAGATATGCACAGCTAATTAATGACAAAGCACGGATATAACACTAAGCCTTTTGATTCCGAACCCATTGCAGCCATGACATCGGATCGAAAGCTTATTTTCTAACTGTTTCAGCTAAATGAAGTATCAATACCTCAGAAAGAAAATGTACTATATTATGAACTCATTGGAGCAAAGAGAGAAAACATGATGATTCTCAGAATTGGCACAAATCTGACTGTGGAGAAGCCTGCCAAGAACTGTTCTCAGCTTATGTTGCTTAAGGGAGAAAGAAAACATTTGTAATACACCACAGTGGGCATGCTTTATGCTTCCTAGCAAGGCAGTTTTCCAAAAAATTACAGATGCTTCAACAAGTATGCTGATTTCCAGAATTTGTTCTGTGAATGAGGATGGGGTTGTGCAACTTGTCCAAATAAGTGCACAGTCTAGGTCAATGCAACTTGTCCAAGTTATAGTCCATAAACGTTTTCCCCAGCTTTATATGCTAATTTTAGGAGAAAAGTTCAAAATAATTACAGGAAAGACAGTTAGGTCTCCAAAATATATTTGCTTCTTGGGTTTTCCCAAAGGAATATGGAGTAGAGTTATGATGCCCATTGACAGTGAAGGTTAGTCCTTCAGACAAGGTAAATAAAGGGTTCGTTTGAAACTTACCTTTGGAAAGAGAGAGAGTTGCAGATTTACCTTGTTCCAAACAGATCATTCCCAGTAGTAAAAACAGTTTATTCTTACTCATAGGCATTTTGAGATTCAGAGTTTTTTCCTGGCATTTTAAAGAGACCAAAGATAATCAAACAAAATAGAAAGCCTTGTGAGACCAGCAGTACCAGCAATAAGCCCATTGAAAAGGAGGTTATTCATTAACCAAGACTTGAGGCATTCAACCATGTCCATATGATGTTTCTGAATGTGGTTTCTTGCAAAGATCTTTGTAAGATGTGGGAGTCAACCACAGAAGCATAGTCTTGTTCAAGCCATATTACATGTCCCATTACATTTGCATCAATTTGTTGCTTCCCAGAGCGTATCTGGCTAGCTAAGTGGTTGGTATCTAAGTAATGGTTTGCAAACATTACTTATTTCTTAGTACAAGTTACTGCTTTCTACAAGAGGGTTGGACATCAAAGTTGTCCTTGTTTGCAAAGATAGACTGGACTACATGCTCGCAAACAACCCAGGAGAATATGCTAAGCCATTTTTCTTTTTCGTATTATCCAAGGGTAAATGAATAGTTATAAGCATGTGTTAGAAAAGGAGAGGAAAGATAAATTGGTGGGACAGTCAGAAGTCAGGAGACTAGACAGTCACTTCGGGTACTGTCCATTGGGGTATCTGTGAACCTGCATTCTCTCACTATTGTTTTGTATTTACCGGAGGCAAACACTAAGTCTCCTTCACTGAGACACTTGGCAGCTGATGCAGTTGATGTGGCATGGGAGGTGGCTCTGATTATGTGCAAGCCTTCTTCCCTGGCTGAGTTTGTGACACATTGTCAGTGTGTGAGAAACAGCTATCGATTGGCCAGTGCTATCTATGACCACATAGGAATAGGCATGAAAAGCAGGAAATGCCAAGGCTGAGTGAATTAAATTGCGGATCACTTTGACAGAAAAAGCATCATGGGTTCTTCTGCAGCTTCCTAAAGAATGACTAAATATGAACCACAGGATGGTTGTTCTAGGTCAGTGGTCGGCGAACGGCGACTAGTGAGCCACATGCAGCTCTTTGGCCCTTTGAGTGTGGCTCTTTCACAAAATACCTTGGCCTGGGCGAGTCTGTTTTGAAGAAGTGGTGTTAGACGTTTAAGTTTAAAATTTTTGGCTCCGAAAAGAAATTTCAATCGTTGTACTGTTGATATTTGGCTCTGTTGACTAATGAGGTAGCCAACCACTGTTCTAGGTCATAGCTGCTTCTCAGAAATATCACAGATGATCAAAGCATAGCCCCACTAATTATGTTGATCCAAATAAAGTCTCAAATCTAATTAGATCTGCGCATTGCGGTGCTTATATGCAAATAATGAAGAGAATAAATGAAGCCCACTGAGGCCTTAATGAGTATCTCAGGCAGCATACTGGTGTAGGTACATGTGAATACCCCTACTTTTCTCAGTCTCATTGGATTTCCTCTCATTGGATTTTCAGTGGAATGTTAGCAAACCTGTGTCTATCTGATGCTGAGGTACTTAAGGTCTTATATGCCAAATGGTCCTAAATCCAGCACAAATAAGCCCTATATTAAAGAGATGATTCCTAGAGTCTGTCCCCTTATAATATTTGACCAGCAAGTAGTGTTTATTATTGATTTTTAAATGTCCTTTGCATATGTCATTGCTTATTTGAAGTATAGTCTCAGCTATGGATTTTTCATTTATTGTCATCCATTGTAGGTGTTCTAACACAACGTCTCATTTAACAGTGACCTTGAGAGGCAAATGTTATTATTGTATCATTTTTTAAAATAAGGAAATTGGGTTTCGGAAGTGTTAAGTAACTTTTCTAGATCACCCAGCTATCAAGTGGCAGACGTGAAATTTATCCCCCAGAACTTTGGGCTCTGAAATCTTGTTTTGCTTTTATTACGGCATTGTGTGTATGCTTTCCAAATCATACTGGCACTCATATCATATTTTGAATTTGAGTCTTTCTTGTAGATATTTTCTTATAAAAATACAAGATCTATTCTAGATTTCTGTCTTTCAACCTCTGATGCAATCCTATGGACTAATAATTGAAGCCAGAAACTGATTAAATGCATTAGTTTGATGACCACTAGAATACAAGTTTTTCATAATGAAAGTGATGAAGGATAAGGTTCTGATAGTAATTTACCTGCACATATTGTAAAAACATTTTTAATGTTGACATCCTTTAAAAAATAGCAAACATTCCATTGGGCATTTCAGGAGTCAACAGGTAGCTGAGGACATTCCTTTAAAAAACAATAGCATTTCTTCTCTCTCAGGTAGCAGGCTTACGATATTTGATAGTACTACTTCCAAAGTATTATTAGATTTGATAGTTATTTTTTATTTAATGGTATTTATTCTTTTCATTTTTTGTACTTCCTTTTTCAGTGGTCTGGCTTCTCTCTTACTGAGATTCTGGGTTGACCTCAAAAGTACGTGTTGTTACAGTTTTGTTGAGCTTCTCATTTTTAAAATCTTATGTTAACATTGTCATTACATTTCTCAATAGTTTCCCAGCACTATTTATTGAAGAGGTTTTCCTTTCTCCATTGTTGTTTTTGGCTCCTTTGTTGAAAATTAGTTTCCCGTGTATGTGTGGGTTTATTTCTGGGCTCTCAATTATGTTCCATTGGTCTGTGTGTCTGTTTTTCTGCCAATATCATACTGTTTGGATTATTGTAGCTTTGTAGAATAATTAGAAGTCAGGGTGTATGATACCTCCACCTTTGTTCCCCCCCCCCTCAGTTTTCCTTTGACTATTTGAGGACTTTTATAGTTCTATATAAATTTGAATACTTTTGTTCTAAGTCTGTGAAAAATAACATTAATGGGGATTGCATCAAATGTGTATATCAGTTATGTAATATGGCCACTTTAACAATGTTAATTTTTCCAATCATTGAACAAGGCATATCTTCCCATTTCTTTATGTGTTATTTGACCTTATTTCTAGGATATAGTGATTACTCCAAGGGTGTGGTCCCTCACCACTCTCAAATATAAAAGCATAGGATATTATGGTCCCCTTTACCTCAAATGGCCTCTCTAACAAATTCTATCAAACCAGAACTGGAAAATGCCGAAGTCGCTGCTAAAACCTTTAGCCTCCCACAGGCTGATTTCCACCAGTGTTTTGATATCACACCAGCCCATGTGTAATTTTTTTTCTAATAAATCTTTATTGTTCAGATTATTACAGTTGTTCCCTTTTTTTCCCCCCATAGCTCCCCTCCACCCAGTCGCACTCCACCTTCTGCCCTTATCCCACCTTCTGCCCTTACCACCCCCCCCCACCCGCTGTTCTTATCCATAGGTATACGATTTTTGTCCAGTCTCTTCCCACCCCCCCACACCTCCTACAACCCTTTCCCCCAAGAATTGTCAGTCCACTCCCTTTCTATGCCCCTGATCCCATGTGTAACTTAATGAGAAATTACACATGGAATTTCAGGCTCATATCACTACAGTTTTGTTTTGTTTTTCTTTTCCAGCATCTTGGCCTCTCAAGTCTTAGCTGCCTTGGCATCTTTGACCTCAGACTTCCATGCACTCACCTAGCACACTGCCAAAAGCCCCAGGCTGTATCTTTTAGTTCAATCTCTATTCCTCATGAAATCACTTGGCAAATGCATTTGTTTTTGAGGCGTAAAGAAGGTTCGCTGGGGAAATGACATTTAAATGGAGACAGAGAGGAAAATAGGAATGAAGTGGTCACTGAGAGTTGGAAATGCAGTTGCAGAAACTTCGGTGGGTGGGCGAAAGTAGTGATGTGGGAGGTTGAACTAATGATCCTTAACCAAAGTACAGTGTCTGGTACAGGGCAAGCATTTAACAACTGCCTTTGGGTTAAATATTAACTCTAATTCAATGAATATTTATTTCATGTATCCTTTATTCTTAGCTCTAGGTTATTAACTGAGGAAACAAAATTGAATATATCATGTGCTTTTCTTTCAAGAAGTTAAGAATAATCAAAGGAATGCTTCTTTAAAAAAATTGGTTCCCATCCAGCTGGCATGAATAAAGTGCTAGTTGCCATATTTTTAATTTCTTAAAAAAAATTCATGTTTCATTTTTAACAAAAACTGCATATATTTAAGACATACAAGTTGATGTTTTGACATACATGTATATAGTGAAATAATTAATGTAGTTACCCTAATTAACGTACCCATCTCTTTTCATAGTTACCTTTTTTTTGAGGGAGGTGGTATTGTGAGAGCACCTGAAATTTATTTTCTTGGCTAATTTCCAATATAAAATACATTGTTAACTACAGCTATCATGTTGTACATTAGCTCTCTAGAGCTTAATCATCCTACAAAACAGCAGCTTTGTACCCTTTGACCAACATCTCCCCGTTTCCCTTACCTCCCCAACCCTGGTAACTACTATTCTACTCTCTGCTTCTATGAGTTTGACTTTCTCAGATTCCACATATAAATGAGATCCTACAGTATCTTTCTTTCTGTGTCTGCCTTATTTCCCTCAGTACAATGTCTCCAGAAATATCCATCTTGTCCCAAATGACAAGATTTCCATCTTTCTTAATGGCTGGATAATAGTCCATTGTGTACATATACATGATCATGTGGTTCTTATCTCTCATTCTGTTAATGTGGTATATCACATAGAGTGATTTGCATATGTTAAACTAACGATGCATCCCAGGGATAAATCCTATTTGATCACAATTGAGACTTAATGAAATGAAACAGTTTATGGTAATTATATGAGGAGGTAGAAAATGTCACACTACGCAGGGGATATTTGTGAAAGTGGAATGGTGAAGATTGTGGAATGGATGGTCAGAGTACATCTAGGCAAATCTGAATTCAGTGTTGAACAAAAATGGGACCTGGCGACTCAGTAGGTTCTGACCACTGTAATCAGTGAAGCTATGATCAGAATCTAGGTTGCAAGCCCTTGGGCAGCTGTCCTCACCTAGATTCACCCCAGCGCAATGCCGTGCTTCTTGTCTTTGGAATCTTCTTTCTTTCTGGGGTTTCTCCTAATATGTCTTACTTTCACTTTGGAATATTCTATCTCCCACTCGTCAACTTTTCACAGTGTACATTCCCTATCTCTTTATCTTAACTAAAC